ACCGTCACCAACATGCACCCATTTCAAGAGGAACTTCTCATGCTGGTCAAATTCTGACCTAAATCAACTGGGTTTCACTTACAGTCAGAAAGCAAAAGTTGAGAGGGGAATGGAGTTACTTTTTTTTTTTTTTTTTTTTTTTTTTTTAAAACAGTCAAAACTATTTTTTAAATCTCTCAACCACTTTGTAACCAACGTAGCAACAAAGACAAACCCACCGCCTTCATAACAAAGCCATAGTAGGACACTCCACCAGTACTGACTAGGCACCACTGCCCAGATGCAATTTTTTTGGACATGCTTTCCCCACGTTTCATTTCACAGCTCACAACCAATTATTCTCGTTATCAATTGACCATGATACAGCAGGTGCAGAAGGTGGGAGAGAAATGGAGCCATCGGGGATTGGAAATACATCAAGGTCATGAGCACACGCAGGCTCTCGCTTCCCAGGAGCGGCATTACACGATCTGAGCCACCAGCTAATAGGCATGCCTGTGGCCTCACATCTATTAGCAGAAAAATGCCTCAACTGATCATGAGAAGACGCTAAGAAAGAGCTATTAATGTGAATGTTATGCAACCATTAAGCTTGTTTTAAATGAATCTAACCAGAACACTTCAAACTTTTAGTCGCAATAGATTCCCCTTCTAAATTAGCAAGTTAACTCAACCATACCACCTAAAACCAATCCTAATAGTTTCATCTGCTATCTTGTATCTCCTTTTATTAAGGAGCAAGCAGAGCATAAGCTCTTCAAGGCAGAGATTGCACCTCCATTTAAAATAAAGAAAGACTGAATTGCATTTAGAGGAATAAATGTGCTCCTGGACTGTCCAAAGACTCTTTTTCTTAAAATAAGTATTTCGAGCTTATAAAAATATCTGCTTTCTTAACCTGAAGTTACAACACCACTTGAACTATCTAATTTACCTGAACCTTAATAAAAATTGATCAAAATACATTTGCCTTTTTTGGGGCTATACAGAAGTACAAAAGCTGGCTATTCAATCAACTTCTGAGCTCTTGACAAAGCTCACTTTTATATACCTTTTCTTTTGAATGTTTGAATCACTGAGGGGGAAAAAGAGAAAAGGGAAAATCTCAAGCAACAAATCAAGCACAGATACCTGTAAAATGCAATCAACTGGAGCACTGAACTACAAAGCTGATGGGCCAACCTGCTCTACAGAGTGGCAGCGTACAGTCCGCTATGAATAGAATATCTACTGAAGAAACGATATAAGAAAAGTCCAGCAAAATATGAAAATCATGACAGCTCTCAACTGTAAGATTTAATCATTGCTACACTTGACAGATATAAACAATATAAACTTCGGGAAAGGAAACAAGGAAATGGTAAAATGGCTTCTGAATTATTTAGCTGAATACAAGGCAGCCAGGGCTACAGCAGATCCCATCACAGCAGGGCAGCCATGGACAGCAGCCCTTTCAGCCCCACGTGCCCCAGCACACCAAGTACAGCCCACCTGCCCACAGCAGTACTTGGGGTTGTGCAGTTGCTGGTTAAAATAGCCCAGAGCTCCTTACAGCATGAACAATCCAACCAACATCCAAAAACGTAAAGGAAGAAATTAACAAGACCGAATGCAACGTATTACTGAATTTAAAACAATTCAAAACAGACAGTATAGCCTGTTTCTTTAAATACATCTACGAAATTTCAAAATATCTCACTTTCTGGTTACAAAGGACCATCATTGATAGGATACTTGACTCTTCCTAGTGCTGCTGTGATCAGTTCTGTAAGAAGAAACACAACTCTTAGGGAAGCTTTGCAGTAGCACCACACCAGAATAAGTAACTTGGTTTCCAGTTCCAGTTTCATTACACTCAGCTACAAGTTTCCAATAGTAAGATACTCCCTTACACTGAAACACTGCCATAGCATCTTCCATGTCACTATCACTCTAAAACATTTGCTTGTGCTGTAAAGGGTGAATTCTGACGCTCTTCAGCATGTTCATGGGGCAAGGTAGCTTCCAGTTAGGTTCCATTAGGTGTCACCCAGCTGAAGCTCAGAGCAAAACGTAGCACATACTCTTAACACACAATTAAGCCTCCACTCTTAAAAATAATACTCCAAAGATGATGTATGAGAGGCTCAATTGAAATACAATACTTAGCTACAACAGTCTCAGCTAGAACGTCAATTCTGGAATACACACCTCTAGTTTCAACCACATATAAATCCATTTTATAAAAGATACTTAGCGTATACTTAATTCTAAACAATTATAGATAGAGAGAAACATAGAACACATTCTGGATCATTTCTTAAACCTCTTATTTCATTCCATACTTTAGATAACTTTTGGGAGAAGCATTTTATGCAACTTCAATAGAGGAACGTGCCTACAATATCCAGAACGGATGACCTAAGCTCAGGGAAGTAATGCAAGATGGAACAGAAAAGTACATGAACAACTAAAAAACGCTGCAGAAAATGTGAAAATCTCCTTTTTTCTTTTTTGATGTTTTATATATATACATATATATATATTTGCTTATATTTCCAGTTACATGGGTCCAGCAGAGAACTGGCTGCTGGTTTTCTTGCCCACTAACAGGAACCTTACAATGTGCTGTGTAAGATGCAAGTAAAGCAAGTCTGGTTACTACTTCACAGCTATTAGAGTGTTGCTTACTTTCCATCCAGCCAAAACAAACATTGCACCTAATTTAGAAGCAATCAGTCATCTAAAATACACAGTTTTCTTTCTTAACTTCATCCAGAAGCAACATATGCCAGTCCTTCGTTCACAGAACGCGCTCTTGTTTTGACCACGTACCCTCAATTAGCAAATTATTAACCATTAAGGATATCACATTTACAAGTAAGTAACAAGTTAATGGTGATTTGAGACTTCACGTCCGAAACAAAACCGTCATTTAACTGTTAAATATTGGCAACTCCTGTGCCTCAACACCACTGGAAAGTGGTGGAAAGTGGAGGTATTGGAAACATCAAGGAAAAAGCCACTGTAACAAGCATGGAGAAAGTAATGCCAACTTTAAAGGTGCATCTCTAAGCACAGGCATTTACCCTTTGGAAACTGAGCACAGGGATTTACCTATCCCCATGATGAACCAATTTTAATGTTTAGTATTTGATCAAACAAGATCTTTGCAAAGGTTTAGTCTAGCTTAACTAAATGGTTTGACAAATTTCTTAATTCCTCATCTGTCCACCAGCCTTCAGGATCACTCCTACCATGCTAACAACTAAAAGACAGAAACATCTGATGAAATCATTTGCACATCTGGGCAAAAAAAAAAAAATATGTAATCTTAAAAACTAGGACAAAGTGACAAATGTTTTCAAAGTAACGTTGCACATACTTGGAAGAGAACAAACAATGCACTGGTAGAAGTAATAGACAAAAGTACTTTTCCAGAAATATAATGCTGAAATACTGCATTTAATTTGGGAAGTACAACTTATACTTTTCAATCAAAAACCCCTGAAGACTAAGAAATCTTAGTAAGAACCACCTAGTCCAAAATGAAGAAGAAACATGAAGTAGAAAATCTAGAAGTGCTGCCGCCTTTTAAGGCAAATTTCAGCACAAGATCTGATGGAGTACAATTAGTTGCCAACCAAAGTCCTGGACTGCATCTTAACCACAAGACGCAAAGAGATCAAAACATCAGGGATAGTGGAGCCTTCGCCATTTGAATCACATCCATGTGCTGCTCTGCTCATCACTTCACTGCTTGTTTCCTTTGCCGTTATCATGTTTATTCCAGTGATACCCAGGGACCTGTGCTAGGAAGAACTTGCATTCTAAGCCATCAAGCAATAAGATACATCTCCTGGCAAGAGGTTTTACCAAAACACTGTTCTGTGACAATTTGCATAGTTACAAAGAAGTTCCACATCTCTTCATCACTCACAATGATATTCTGAATAAGCCATATAAGTGGTACCGTCCCAAACAGAAATGACACTTGAAATAAGCAACAGATTAGAACACACGGATAGTTCCTCTGAACCTCTGCAAGCCCCGGATAACTAAAATACGATGGCACAAAAAGACAAGCTTTAAAGAAGAAAAAAAAAATAGCCAGCTACAATTGCCAAATTGCTTACTGATCCAGCAAAATAGGTGGGAAAAATTACATAGAAAGTTAAAAATAAAAAATAAATTTAAAAAAAAAGAGCATTAGTTACATGGCGGCATTTCAACCACCCCAAAGCACAAAAGCCATTTCTTCTGTTTCCCCCCCATGTGTACAAGTTCACGAGGGTGAGAGAGGAAGCGGAGCAGGCTGCGTGACACACATGGCCGGCTGAAGATGCTGTCAGCAGGAAATCCTTTTGTCAGTATAATACCTCAATGCAACCTTTGTGTGGGCAACATAAAAACCTGAGGTAACCTTTATAAGGGAAAGGCACATCAACTTATTTACTCTTTCATCACTCGAGCCATCGGACACCTTTCTAAAGGTTTAATCCTCGAGCAATTTCCCGGGGGGAAAAAAAAAAGAACCAATTATACCCCACACTCTGCTCCTACTAAGTGTCACCATCTTACGGAATAACGGACCAAATCTACACGATTTCGAGGCCCCAGCCCGACCCCCAAGGTAGCCCGACGCCCAACCGAGCAGCCCACCGCCAACAGGGCTCAGCTCCGCTCTCCCTGCCGCCTCCTGCACGATTTCCGCTCCCCCGAGGCCCGTCCCTTCAGCTCCTCTGTCAAGGTGGGGCACGAGGCGCGGACCCCGCAGCCGGGGGCTCTCGGCAGGGCGCCGCGCCGCCCTTCCCCCACAAAGGCTGAGCGGCCGGGGCCTCTCCCATCCCCACAGCCCCCGGGGGCCTCTCCCGGTTCCCCCCGCCCCCGGGCCGGCGAAGAGAGGGAGGATGACACGGCGAGCCCCCCTCCGTCCTTCCCTTCCTTTCCCTTCCCTCCCCCCAGCCCTCATCGCACCCGGGGGCCGTGCTGACGTCCCGGCGGCCAGCGCCTCGCCTCACCTCGCCGTGTCCCGCTGCCGCCCCGCCGCCGCCGCCCAGAGCTCCGCTGCCGGCGGCCGGGGCCGTCAGCAGGCCGCCCACCGCGCTGGAGGAGCCGGCCGCCGCCTGGCTCGCAGCCCTCAGAGGGACCGCTCCCGCCGCGGCCCCGGCCTTGCCCAGGCCTCCGGCGCCGCCTCCGCCGCTGGGTCCCGGCCCGCCGCTGCTGCCGAGGCCGCCGCCCCGCTTGTTCTTCCGGCGCTTGGCTCCGCGCTTGGCGTCGGCCGGACTCATCGCGCCTGACACCCGGGCGGGGAGGAGGGAGCGGGGGGGAGGAGGAGAAGGAGGAGGGGAAGGGGCGCGGGGCCGCGGCGACCTCCCGGGTGCGGAGGGGGCGGGCGGGGCCGGGGCACGGGGCACCCCGGGCGCCGAGGAGCGGAGCGCACCGACTGTCACCGGCAACGAGGACTCCTTCGGCCCCAGCGCCGCTGACCAGAGTTACCGTCCAATATGGCGGACACAAGGGGAAAGTGATCCCCCCTTACGTCGGGGGGCTCCCCCTCGCGCTGACGGGAACCCGCCCCGCGGGGTGCGCCGGGAAGCGTAGTTCTCTCGCGCCCCGCCGCCGCGCCGCAAGTGGGTCGAAGGACTACGACTCCCGGCGTGCATAGCGGGACCCCGCTGGGCGCGGCCGTAGACGTCACCCGCCGCCGCGAGGCCGCCTGGGAGCGGTAGTCCCGCCCGCCACCGTTAGCCCCGCCGGCCGACGTTGCCACCCCGGTCAAGGGACTACACCGCCGCCCAGCAGCCGGCGAGCGCCACGTGACGCACGCCCCCGCGTCTTAAAGGGGCCGCAGCGGCCGGGCGCTCCCGCAGCGGCTGAGGCGCGAGGGGCCGCCTTCCGCCGAGGCGAGCCGGCGGAGGCCTTGGGCTAATGCAGGGAATGGCAGCCGCCTCCTGCTGCTCTCGTTCACATAAGCATCGCGGAGCCGGGTTTAAGCGGCACCACCGGCCAGCTCCTCTTAATAAAGAGCTGTGTGGGAGCCGCGTTTCATCCTCCGTGGGTGCAGGCTGTGGAAGGCACCAAGCCCCAGCGGGGAAGGCTTAAAATGGAGGTTACGCACGGTGGGCTGCACGGAGAGGGCCCTGCTCCTCACAGGTGGGGAGGTGAGCAGGCTGCCAGCAGGGCTTGGCCAACCCAACCCAACCCACCACAGGGACTCACACAGATCATCGAGTCCAACTCCCGGCTCCACACAAAGATCAGAGACAATGTCCAAACACTCCTTCAACACCACTGCCACAAACTGCACACACAGCCACCTGGATTTGCCATAGCCATTTCTCTCTGTGGATTGCAAACCTCCTTCCGGAGTGGCGGTCAGCATCATTTCCTGAGATTGTTTTCCCTTTGTGGCACAACGTGGTGCTGCATGGACAGACCGGAAAAGGTGAAATGCTCCAGCACTCTGCCCCGATGCGATTTGGTGGTGTGACGTAACATTATAGACATGTTTAGGCACTAGAGTGTTGTTCTTCCCTTCACTGCAAGCAGGCAGCACAGCTAGGCAACCAAAAGACACAAAGGGTGTAAAACGTCAAAAAGGTCACAGAAACAATGTCTCAGGACTTTGGGAAGAAAAACAGAAGAAAGCTCTGATTCCAACACGTTCTGCTGAGACACTGGCAGCTCCAGAGATAGCTTCCATCTGTGCTGAAGCTGTTCCAGGCTGTTTGCCCTGATGCACATGAAGGAGCTTTGCAGGTATACACAAGCATCAGCAAAACCAGGAGAACATGTTTGTTCCTGGTGTGGTCTGGTAAATGGCAAGTTTTGGAGGAGCAGGAGTCCTCCAAATATCCTTGAAGGGAGCATATAAACGGGAAAGGGAACGGCTGTTTACGAGGGTTGATAGTGATAGGACAAGAGGGAATGGTCTTAAACTGAGACAGGGGAGGTTTAGGTTAGATATTAGGAGGAAGTTCTTCACATAGAGGGTGGTGACGCACTGGAACAGGTTACCCAAGGAGGCTGTGGATGCCCCTAACCTGAAGGCATTCAAGACCAGGCTGGATGTGGCTCTGGGCAGCCTAGTCTGCTGGTTGGTGACCCTGCACATAGCAGGGGGGTTGAAACTGGAACAGGCTGCCCAGGGAGGTTGTGCAGTCTCCTTCTCTGGAGATGTTCAAGACCTGCCTGGACGCCTACCTGTGTGACCTGGTGTAGGGAACCTGCTTTGGCAGGGCGGTTGGACTCGATGATCTCTGGAGGTCCCTTCCAACCCCTACAATTCTGTGATTCTGTGATCATTGTTGTCCTTTTCAACCCAGGCCATTCTGTGATTCTATGATTCATAAACACACAGTGCTGTATGAGCAGCAAATTGCAGGATGACCAACCATAGGGTCATGCAATGCTCGCACAGTTGTGTGCAGCCTTTTGCAATGAATAAATAAATTCTACGCCCTGTAGTATGAACTCAAATTTGATTTCTTAACATCTCAATACACAGAATTATTCTTAGGGTGCATGTCTTTGGTTTGAAATGTTGACGTGTCTTATTTCAGACCGATACACAGCCAGCTTTTTCTTCCTTTTAGAATTATATTTTCACATGGTCTCAGCTGTCAGTGTCTGTATCCCCTATGTAACAGATAAAAAGCACTGTTATGAGAAACTATTACTGTTAAATCACTCAACTGCGCAGCAGCTATGTCAGCTCAGTGTCACCACAACATTTAATTCCAGTACTCTCATCACAGAAACATGTACATTTTCCTTTCACTATTCAGAAAACAAGGATCATCCATACCACTTTTTAAAGTCAGTTTTCAGTGTTAAAGACGATTGGCAGTGTAAGACAGAAAGTTTTTATAAACTGTTGAGGTCAAGGTCTCTTTTCAATCTGCAAATAAATACAGGAAAATGAAGTACCTTTATGGTTTTGAACAGCACTCAGCTACCACACCTTATTTTTAACTTGCAATTAGACTGAGCCTGTAGGTTGTTTTAAAAATGAACTTGCCAGCTTGGTGGTGGATCTAAAGATTTTATGAACTGGAGCAAAAGAGAGAGGAAATTAATTTGACTGCTGTGAGGACATATAAACAAATCTCTTGCCTTTACTTGAAGTAAATTATTTAAAATGCTCAACTTCATTCCTAAGAAAATACAGCCAGTCTTTTGAGAAAACTAACATTAATTTACCTCATTGTTAATTTAAAGCATGGCATCACACTTCAGTGTTCTTTAGGAAGAAAAACTATTTGTACTACTAAAATTTTTCAAATTTTCCAGGAACAACATTTATGAAAATTCACTACATAAACAGTGCAGAGTGCTGCAGTGCACTCACATGACTTCCTTTGAACCAGCTGTATTTCAGTAGTTTTGCTGTTTTATCTGCAAAGCATAAAGTCAACAAAAATCTGTGAGGATTACCAGTCACAGTTACCTTTAAGTTCTGCTTTCACAATGTCTGGGAAAACTCAATGTGGTTTTACCCTTTACTGCAATATTTGTGCTGCTCTTCTCTTGCATACACATCTAAGATCTAAGGTACCTGTATTACTTGCTGGAGTTTAACCTGGCAGGTGGCTAAGCAGCACACAGTCATTTGCTCACTCCTCAACTTGCAGTGGGATGGAGGAGAGAACTGGGGAAAAATAGTAGAATTGTGGGTTTAGATAAAATCATTTACTGAGATAGAGAAAATGATAATAATTATGACAAATATACATGTGTATGTATATATGAGTATTTATAACAAGTGATGCACAAGCAATTGCTCTCCATCTCCTGACCAATGCCCAGATGGGCCCCCAAACATTGAAAGAGAGCGAGATGAACTCCACCCCCTTCAACACTCCTTCCACGTGATGCCATATGGTATGGAAAATCCCTTTGGCCAATTTAAGTCAGCTGTCCTAATTCTGTCCCCCTCAGCTTCTTGGCCCCTTTGCTGTGGATGGCCTTAGCTGTGTACAACACTGCTTAGCAGTAATTATAAACAGTGGTGCATTATCAGCATACTTTTTCTCCTAAAACCAAAATGGAGCATCATACCAGACATTTTGAAGAAAACAATTCCATCCCAGCAGAAACTAATGCAATACTGAACAGTTGTTGTAACTGTAATTAAAAAATAAGTGATCTGTTAGTTATTACTGTTCTTGAAAAAGCAGTCTCTGTGTCAGGGAGGTTACAGTTTATGGTTTCTTTGATTTCAAGAGGTTCTTAATTATGCATTTCATTCCCAATTCAGTGAATGCTACTTCATATTAATGTTAGTAATACACTGAAGTCCGAGGAGCAACTCACCTGCATGGCAAGCCTGACAAGATTTAAAGCCATCCTTCTGCTCCCCACCATTTTGTAACTGCTGTCATTCACCAAATGACTGTTTTATTTACATTTCCAAAAATTGCTTTTGGATCCTCGCTTTCTGTCAGTTTCCCCTACATGGTTACATTTGTACAGAGGCCCTGGGGCTTTGCACTGAAATCAACGTTATACAACTCAAGGAATTTGTCAACATAATTATTCTGCAGCTAGCACTAATTTGTCTTTGCTGTCCAACAATCTGTCATTTTAATAGCAATTTTGTTCCCTAAAAGCCTTTTCTACAAAGAAATGAACATGCACGTGTATGGGCATAGGCAACTGTGTACTTACACAGAAGTAAAAAACAGGTGGATGATACGGCGTGCAGACACTGTGTGCTCACAAAGGTCCTCGTCACGGTGAGAGCCCCTCTCCATGACCAACACATTGAACTCACATCCCAGTGCTGTCTGAGAAAGCATTTGGGAGTCACTGGGGCACTGGGGGCTCATAGAAGAGCTCTGCCTGTGGTCCCACAGCAACAGCACCATGATTACAAACCAGCACTGATGCAGCACCACAGCAAACTGAGTGCCTTCTCATCAGCGTCTGTTCTCATGTGCAGTAACATCTGAGCTCCTTCCGCATGCAGGGAACATTGGAATCACATTCCTGGATGGCCTTCATGGGGTCCTGGGCACTGCCTCCTTTCCAAAGCCTTCTTGGGATAAGGTTGTTGATCTATCATTGAGGGAGTATTTGGTTGCATGGTGGGATGATGCAAGCAGAGCATTCTGCTAGCAGGGCTACCTGAACAGCAAAGGACTGCGGGCTGTTCTTCAAATGACCACGTTCAGTATTACCTCACCTCCTCTGGAATTTGTTTCACAGCCAGATGTTTCAACTGAAATAAACTTTATGGAAAGCAGAGAAAGTTAAAGCAAAATAAAAGCAGTCTCACCTGCTGTATAATAAAACTTTATTTCATTAGCTTTACGACCTTTACAGCTTTATGGTTATTGGCTTTTTTATCTGCACAGTTCTCACTGGTCCTTAAACAATGTGTTTGGTAAAGCTATGAGCACGGAGGTCTTGCAGAGGGCCTTGTTTCAGATGATCTGCCATGGAAAACATCTCAGGGGAACCTGGATTTTGTAACCAACGTGGCCATGAAGATGTGTGATTTCTGGGTGCTCGTTCACAGTGCCAATGCTGGAACATTTCTGTGCTATGCTGTGCTATGACAACAAATATAGTAACACAAATCAAGAACACTATGTTTTTCTCAAGAATGCTTCAGTAAATAAATGGAACAAAAGTCTGTTTCTTAGCACAGAACCACAGAATCGTAAAGGTAGGAAGGGACCTCTAGAGATCATGTAGTCCAACCCCCCTGCAAAGCAGCTCCTTATAGCAGGCTACACAGGCAAATACAACATGTATGCATACTGCATTCAGCAATCTCCCCCAATATTCCTTTGATTCCCATTTTTTTCTTTCTCAGAATAAGCTCTTCCAGCCTCTTCTGAAGGGTGGCTTCTTGAAACACCTCCTGGGTTTTTGAGGCATTGACCTGGCCATTGAAATAGATCAAGTAATGCTGCGCTGTGCAAAGCTGGGTTACATTTTTGCATTGAAACTCTTAGAAGAGTTACAAAACAACCATTTTGCACACTGGCTCTAAGTAAGCTGATTAAGACTCTGAAATTTTGTTTATCCTCACAAGGTGGGATACACCTGCATGCAGGAAAGATGTTCCTGCACATTGCTGGCACGCAGCTGGGGAAGAGCCCCCCACAGCAGAACTCACAGCAGCTCAGGATTTAGTGGAGCAGTTTTGACAAACCAACTTCTAAATCTTTAATCATAGAGTTGTAGAAGGCTTTGGGTTGGAAGGGACCTTTAAGTACATCTAGTTCCAACCCCCCTGCTGTAAGCAGGGACACCGACCACTAGACCAGGTTGATCACAGCCCCATCCAGTCTGGCCTTGAATGCCTCCAGGGAGAGAGTATCCACAGCCTCTCTGGACAACCTGTTCCAGAGCCTCACCACCCTCACAGTAAAGAATTTCTAATATCTAGTCTAAATCTGCCATCTTCCAGTCTAAAGCCATTCCCCTTGTCCTGTTTCAATGTGCTGACATAAAAAGTCTCCACCCAGCTTTCCTACAGGCACTCTTCAGGTACTGAAAAGCTGCAGTAATGTCCCTCTGGAGCCTTCTCTTCTCCAAGCTGAAAAGCCCAACTCTCTCAGCCTGTCCTTGTAGAGGAGGTGCTCCAGTCCTCTGATCATCTCTGTGGCCCTCCTCTGGACTCGTTCCTGCAGCTCCAATCATTGAACACCTCAGCTTTCTCCGTATCCCTCATGACCACGTCTCCATTTTCCTTCCAGAGGGGGCACACACCTTCCCTGAACTTCCTTTTATCACTGATAATGATGTGTATGAGGGATGAAGTTTACTATCCCAGCTGAAGTTTTGGAAGAAAATCCAGTTTCCACCTTTCAGCACAGGTGTTAAGCTATGCAGTCAGAGCTTTGCTGGTGAGCTGATGGAGTGAAAATAATATTTCCAGTGTGTGATTTCTTTTATCCACAGAGCCCAAATGTGGTGGAAAAACACAAGCAGCTGTTTCTCCGCTCGTGGTTTCCAGCCTTCCATGTCCTGGCAGCTTTGTGTCCTGTGCCCAGGCTCTCTGTGCCTCTGAAAGCTGTGATCTTTGAGGCTGCCCACTGCCTCCACTGTTTGCAGATTGCCAATAATCCTTAAAATGAAGCACTGGCAGCCAGTGCCAAAGAGCAGTGCCAGCCTTTGGGGTTGGTTTGGGTGCTGGTCCCTGGTGGGTCAGAATTGTTCAGCACTGTTTCACCTGTTGCCTGCTCCTCTTCCTTTTTGCCTTTTCTTTTCGCCTGTTAGATGATGTTGAATACATCCATCAGTTCCAAGCAAAAATATGACAGCTGAAAGATCAGAGCCTCCTTCCTGGCAGCCATTACCACGTAAAGTAGACATCTAATTTCATTGCAAGTTTTGCCAAGAGAAGCACATTCTGCTTTTGCACTCATTGATCCAGAGCTTTTTAACATTATCTGAATGAACAGTGCAGCTGGTGAACCTTTCTTACAGTTTATCTTTCTGCTTCTTTGGCTTTTGAATCTATCACCACAGGGGAGAAAACAATATCTCACCGCTCTTCCATCATCTGTTACCTCAAAATGTCCCAAAGAATTTCTTTTTCCTTATCCCTGCAGTGTGATACAGTGGAGTTGTGGTTGTGGTCGTAGATCTCTCCATAATATGAGGAAGCTCAAGAGTGCACGGATCATCCCGGTTTCCAATCTGTGCTGGAGAAATCAAGCAGGGAAAAGGGATGGAATTTTCTTGTCTCTCTTTGCATCTTCTCTGAACTGTTGCTGCCTCTGAGTGATTAAATTCCTGAATTTTAATTGTCATTCATAGAGCAGTTGGACCCAGAGTGTGTGAATGAGGGGTTTTCTGTGCTCTCCCCACCTTTCTCTGATGATGGAAGAGAGGGAACAGTGGATGGGACTGCGTCCTCCCAGCATGACAGCAGGGAATGAGCAGCAGTCTCAGAGATAATCTTTCTCCATCCTGTTGGACAAAAGCAGGTGGAGAACTTAGGCCTTAGGATGCTGTGGTCATAGGAATTATTCCAAGGAAAGGCCAGTTTTTCTGACTGTCTTCTTAACATTTCATTTGTTATCAGGATATCCCCAAATTAGCTCCAGAAGCTCTCTGCATAGCCTTAAAAAGAGGCGGTAACAGAGAACATAATGTCCTGGATGGGGCCCCAGGCAGCCTGGTCTAGTACCAGATCTGGAGGTTGGTGGCCCTGCCTATGGCAAGGGGTTGGAACTTGGTGACCCTTGGGGTGCCTTCCAACCTAAGCCATTCTGTGATTCTTTGGAAAAGATTAGCTGGGAAGAAAATTACCCTCCTTGTTAAGGCGTCAGCAACTCCTTCAGCTTGGACTTTGCTGGACATGGCATTGCCTGGCCGATGGGAATGGCACTGTCAGTGGTGTGAGGCCAGGCAGGCAGGCACAGCCACGCCAGGAGCGATACCTGCTGCTGCCTTCAGGAAACCCATGACCCTGTATGCACTTGGAATATGTTCCAACCTCAAACTGGCAGAAGCCAATGGTCATGGGCTGTTTCAGGTTCTTGTTTTCTGCCTCTTCCTTCCCCAGCTCTGCCACAGTGGGCCAGCCCTTATTTCCATCCCCAGTCTGAGTGGAGCCATAGAAAAGGGCTCCAGCAAAAGCCCATGAGCCTGTCTTCTTCACACCCCAGACAGTGTGCAGACATCTAGCACCAAACCGTGATGCTCGGCTACATGACAGTATAGGGCAAAGCTTCCAAACAAAGTTCTGCTGCTTTTGCTTCTGTCAGAAGGGTAATTTGAACAACTCAATGCTATTCAATAGTCACATCCTGTGTTTAGAGTGAAGGTCTTGGATGCAGAATATACTTGTTAAAGTACTAAAAAACAGGTAAGCTGGTCCAGCTGACTTCTATAACACCGTAGCGTTCCAAGAAAACCAACACCTTTGCAGTCACCTTGTCTCAGTGACCTGCTAAGAACAATTTTACCCCAATGATTGCTTTCATTTCTGCTTGACAGACATAGAGATCCCCCACATATAACATCCTACAGGCATATGCAGCTATTATCTTCCACATTCCCAGGGCAGCCTCACAAAGGGGAATGCGGCTTTCAGTTTCTTATGTGTAAATAGAAGAAAGAACTGCTGGCCAGCCAGCCCAGGTGTAACTTCAATGCAGCACAGAAGATGCTGCCACTCTCCTGGCCAGGCAGAGGGGAATGGGAGAGCTGGGAGTGAAATGTGGAGATGCAGAATCCAAGCCCATGGGAAAATTCCACTGCTCATACAGTGGCATATTTCATTCAGGGCTGAGATACGGAGCATCTTCTCCAAGGTTCATCAAAGCCTGGATCATTTGGGGCTCATGTGTGGTGCAAGACCAAAGATACAAAAACCATCTGTGAAATTCCAGTCCAAACTGAGATCCTTACTGCAGTGAGTGCCTGTACTTCAACTGAAATATTTTGTTGGCTTGATGAGATTATTTGCTTGCCCCTGGATTGTTGGCTTATTTCTATGTTTCTTCCTAACTTCCTAACTGTATCTTTTAATCTTCAAAACACTTAGCAGCTAATACAATCACAGAATCATACAATCACAGAGTCGTTTGAGTTGGAAGGGATTCTGAGAGGCCATCTAGTCCTGCAGTGAAGGAGGACACCTACAGCTCCACCAGGTGCTCAGAGCCCTGTACAGCCTGACCTTGGGTGTCTCCAGGGATGGCGCATCCACCACCTCTCAGGGTAACCTGCACCAGTTGATATGATACAAGATGCTGAGCACCAGAAACCTCTGGCTGTAGGCCCTCTCAGAGCTACTGCTATTCCAACCATTTCCCACCTGCTGCACGGTGGGGCTCTTCCCTGGATTGGTGCATGGTTTGCTGTTAACAGTTGTATGGCATTTGTATGAACACAGTGCGTCATCATTCTGAGCTTTCCCATTCCCATGAGAGAAAATACCCAAGGAAATTTCCCAGGGGACGAGGCACATTCAGATAAGGCTGGCACCACTCCAAGGCATGCAATTGCCAGAGAAAGGAAATTTACTTGATGAGGAACGAGAACATAGCTCGATTTACAGGCTAAGAGCTGACCCTGCAGGGGGTGGAACATCATCTTCCTTGCTGTCGGAATACGCTGAGGCTGCTGCACATCTCAGGCCCCAAGTTAACAAACACTGACGTGTTTGCACAGTATGTGCTTGCAAGAGGCATTTCTCTAAGTGCAAGGAGGCAGTTTGTGCATTAGCGAGCCTGGAAGAGACATTTCCTGCACCACTTCAGTGTCTGAGTTGTCAAGTGCAACAGCGGTATCAAAAGCTTCAGCAGGGCTGGGTTTCTTAACATGCACTGTTACTGGGCACAGACTGTTAGCACGGGGCTGCAGCTGCTGAGCTTCAGTGGTCTCAACATTACTGAGAATACTGACCCTATATAGAGACCCTATAGAGACCCTATAAATGTCTCAACATCAAGTGCTCAGGTGCACCACTCCATTGATTTCTGCCCTTTTGATTGGTAAATAGTGGAAAGCTAGGCCACAAAAGCAGCAGTTTTGTGCCTTTTGTGCCAATCTTCCTCTCATGTAGTCCCAGCTCTCTCCAGAATGGTGTCCAAAGGCTTTTGAACAGAACTGAGACAGTGACACAGCATTAAGTTGTCAGAAATTGTTTCCAAGGCTCACTTTTCCCCATAGAATCACAGAAATTGGACAGGACCTCTGGAGATCCTGCAGTGCAACCTCATGCAAGGCAGGTTCTCCACTGTAGGTAGTGGGGAACAAAGGAGAGCATCCAGATGGGATTTGAATATCTCTAGAGAAGGAGACTCCACGACCTCTTAGAGCAGCCTGTTCTGGGGTGGCTCACTGGTACCTTTGCAAAGAGGAACTGAAAAATGAGATTTTTTTCTTCCCACTTTTAAAACATGCCCATTATGGCAGCCAGTTCTTGCCAGCTGAAGCTGGAAGAAGCAGACTGCTGGGTTAGCTTTATAAATGCTTATTTCATGCTGTAGGAGTGTTCCATCCCATTTCAGCTTCTCCAGGCCATATAACAGTTCTGCCTTTTGGCTAATGAAGTGCCTTTAGTCATCCCATTCAAAATTAAAAATACGACCTTGCTGTTGTGCCAGATAAGAGATGGATGTATTATCAGAATTCTTTTATGTCTTTGTGACACAATTGGAACCAGGCTGGGACAAAGAAGGGATATTTCATTACACGCCTGCAAGTAAGTGGTGTATAAAGACACTCCACAGTACATCATGCGCTTCAGCAGAGCTGCGTGAGAGGTAATCTGTGCTGAAGATTTACCTAGAAATCCTTCACTTGCCAAAGGAGAGGCAGCCTTCTGCGTGTCTACATTTCCAGCAATTCTATTTGCCTCAAAGCACGAAAGGAAGAAGTGGAAAGTGGCTTTATTTAAGAACATATGGTGGTTGGGTGCACCAGAGATAAATAATAATGGTTAATAACTGAAATCCAGAAGGGAAAGCAGATTCAGCCTGAATGGATTTGAAAGCTTTGTCAAAGAGAGCAATTCCTCTCTGGCAGTGTGAAAGCTTAGGCAGCTAGCAGGGGGGGCTGCCTGAAATTTGCTTCCTGACAGAAGACTTTTGTTGAAAAGATCCTTTAGAAATCAGTGTAACCCAGGTTATCCACCCGACAGCACTTGCTGCTACTGCTCTAGATAGGGGTGTGCAGGGCCTGGGTTTCCTCTTTTGCCCAGTTCCCCACTGACTCTGAGCATTTATGTAACCTCATTGGCCTCAAGCTCCCTTCTATACCATGGAAATACAAACACTCTGCAGGTCTTCCTTCTGAGCTTCTCCAGTGTGTTATGCAGTACTTTGTTTTCACAATAAATCATGGATGACTGGAAAGGCTCATTATCTACAGAGCAGGTTGGTCTGTCAAAGAGCTGCCTTGGCTGAACTAAACGATGGTTCTCTCCTGCAAAACATAGCAGTAGCATCATGTAAGAAGTCAGAGGAATTCTATGGTGGAAAATAAATGAAGCACAAATCAAATCTCTGTAAAACAACTGAAGAAGTGCTATCTAATATTGACAGTGCTTTAAAAGCTTATGCTTCTTTTGTTATCATGAGTAAAGATGGCTCAGCGTTCCTGCAGCAAACAGATATATTCCCACTGCCTTATGACAGCATTTGTAATGGTTTGCTGAAGCATCATCCTTCAAGCATGTATTCAATCAGCTTAAGAGCTTTTTTTTTTTTTTTTTCATAAGTGGCAGTAAAATACTAGAACAGTTACCTTATAGCAGTTTAACAAATGCTCGAGTTCTACCAGTTACCAACCCATAGCAATTTGACTGTTAAAGCCTTACAAAAGCTATGCTACCAGTTCCTGTACAGCTTCTTGTTGCAGGGTGAGATGCTGCAATTCAAAGACTGTCTCAGTGAGCCAATGGAGCTGAAGTACTTCCCACTCAATAGAATCACAGAATGGTTTGGCTTGGAAGGACCTCACAGCACACCCAGACCCAACCCCTGCCATGGGCTGGGTGCCTCCCACCACATCAGGCTGCCCAGGGGCCATCCGACCTGCCTTGAGCACCTCCAGGCATGGGGCCTCAGTAGGACACTGCCTGTCTATAACTCAGGGAGACATCACCATTTGATTTCACCCTAGTTCTTAAATGCTAAAGTCAAATCTTATTCCCCTCCCAGGTTTTAAAGAAACCACTTTCCTAAGAATGCCAACCATTTTTTAGCTGTGTAAAACTGGCAAGAGCTCTCCCTGTTGCTGCTAAACTGCAGAAATAAGTACCTGTTCCGACTGGTTACCTCTGGTGAGTTTGCACAGCATTTCTCTCTGTTGTCCTTGGAGACCTGGGACAATGATGGCGTTGACACACCCTCAGCCATAATTATTGGTGAGAGCAGAAGGAAGAGGGAAAGCAGAGGAGATATGAGGTGGGCATTCCTGAGGGCACTGTGCAGTCTGTGATGCTGGGGACCCAGTGTCAGCTGCCAGTTGAGATCACAGGGGGTTTTGTGGGGACATGTGAGCATATTGCCGTGGGCCAGGGCAGGGACTGGTTGCGTTTGTTTGCTCATGAAGAAGCTCAGCAATCTGAGGAAGGAAGAAGAGGCAGAAGACAGGACATGAGTGGAAAGCACAAGTCTGGATAGGAAAGTAGTGGCAAAAGGCAAAGGGGACAAGAAATATGTCAAGTTTTTGACCTACTCATTCTTTCGCATCATGAGGCCCATGTGCAAGGGCAGTGCATCTTTGTGGGTCCTGCGTCCTACAGTTCAGCACAGAAGTGGTCTCCAAATGCTCCACGCAATGCATGTGAGGTCATCCATGCCTCTCTGTACAGTGAAGAAGTCTTAAAAAAACAAAACCAACCAACCAAACAAACAAAATTGTTTTCTTAAAAATTAACACTTTGGATGCATCCAAATTCCTGTAACCTTTTCCTTTTCCAGAAGTCCAACCTGAGAGTCACTATGGAAACGCCAATGCCTGTTTTCTCTTATTTCCCCATTGACATCGCAGTGGGGGAAGTTGGCCTCACAGCACCAGGGATGTTCCCAGTGCCCAGTGCCTGTTTCTCATCCTATAAATAAAAGCAAAACAATGCAAACAGGGTTATCTTCTCAATGAACTCAGCTTGTTCTGACAAAAGAGTTCTGCTCCACCGAATAATTACACTAATTAACGCTTTTCACTTCATTCTGGTTATCACATGCAATCCCTTCCCACCACTCCCAAGGCCGCATCAATAGCACAGCTCCTGAATAATTCCCCAGTGAACAGACAAAACAAGGAGCATCCCCTTGGTTCTTAGCAAGACAAATGCTATGCCTGTGCTGGGCAGGGGCCTTCCAGTATCTAAAGGAGGGGAGAAGATAGAAGGGGACAGACTCTTTTGCAGGGCCTGTTGTGACAGGACAAAGGGAAATTGTTTCAAACTAAAAGAGGGGAAATTTAGATTATATATGTGGAAGAAGTTTTTTATGCTAAGGGTGGTGAAGTACTGGCACAGGTTGCCCAGAGAGGCGGTTGCCCTGGAGACACTGAAGGTAATGACGGATGGGGCTCTGAGCACCTCATGAAGCTGTAGGTTTCCCTGTTCATTGCAGGGGAATTGAACCAGTTGACCTTTCAAGGATTCAACTCAAACTGTTCCAGGAATCTATAGTTCCCTTCTGCTGCATCATTAATACCTAAGCCCTCTCCACAAAAGGCAGAACATACACACTGCCTCCCTCTCTACTCTGCCCTCGTGAGGCCTCATCTCGAGCGGCCAGGTCTGGGCCCCCGGTACAAAAAAGACAGGAGGATGTTGGAGAGGGTCCAGAGGAGACTCACAAAGATGATCAGGGTCTGGAGCAGCTCTCATCCGAAGACAGGCTGAGGGAGCTGGGCTTGTTCAGTCTGGAGAAAAGAAGGCTGCAGGGTGACATCATTGCAGCCTTTCAGTACCTGAAGGGAGCCTAAAAACAGGAGGGGAATCAACTCTTTGAAAGGGTTGATAACTGCTGGACAAGGGGAAATGGTTTTAAGTTGAGGGAGGAAAGATTTAAGTTAGATATCAGGGGGAAGTTCTTTACAGAGAGAGTGGTGAGGCGCTGGAACAGGTTGCCCAGAGAGCTTGTGGATGCCCTGTTCAACACCTGCAGGTGTTGAAGGCCAGATTGGATGGGGCCCTGGGCAGCCTGGTCTAGTATCAGACATGGAGATTGGTGGCCCTGCTATCAGGGGGGTTGGAGCTCGATGATCCTTGAAGTCCCTTCCAACCCAAGCCATTCTACAACTCTGTGATTCTATGATTTTGTGCACCACTCACCCCCGGCTGGTGAGGCAGTTTCCTGGCTGCAGTAGCAATGAGCTCCCTCTGTGACACAGTGCCAAAACTCCTTGTGATAACAAATGAGATGCCAAGGGCTGCAGTGCGGAGAGCTTGGAAACCTCCATCTTTGGTATCAATACAAGACTTGAACCCACTTCCCAGCCCCAGAACGTGCAGGAAATACTCACCCCACCATACCCATGGCTGAGGAGTCAAGGGTGGATATGAGGAATCAGCCCAAGCCAGGATGCCTGCACCTGGGTGCTGTGGCCAAGCAGACAGAGCGCTCTGGAGCAGTGCCTTTTTTGTTGCCCTGCACAACACCCAGCTTTCCTCTGGACATCGCAGAAAGCTGCTCCGCCGTTTCCAAGGTGATCCTGGGGTGAAGGCTGCTGCATATTCCCTTGCAGGTAGCAGCAGCTGTCGTCGGGAGATGTCCTTGGACAAGCCATTGTTTGCAAGGAAATAGGGAAAAGCAGAAAAAAAAGATCTGTTTGTAATCATTTCTTAAAGACCTGTAAGAAGAAAAGACAAATTAGGGCATTTATTTTGGGAGATGGTGAGTGTTTTCTAATGCAGCACGAGCCTTTGCACCTGGGAATAAGCACTGCAACTCCACTGTAAACAGCAAAATTAATCATTTAATCCTCATTAATCCTCCCCACTGTCCTCTAATGCAATGGATACAAATGCAGTTGGTGCCTCCCACCGAAGCTGAGGTTACGGGAGGAAGACGCGGTGTGGATGGAGATGTGTGCTCCTTTCCATGCAGCACACGGCCCCTCATGGCCCCACGACCTACTCAGATCCCAGAGAAGTTCTTCGGGAATATTTCTGCAATTTCTTCTCCAGAGATAGGAAAGCCTGAAAAATAGGAAAGCCGCATTTATTTTGATTCAGCCACACTGGAGCCCTCTTACTGACGTCCTTGAGCTCACAATTTCACAACACCCTGTGGTTTTGCAGGCAATGGATGCTTGCTTAATAGGAACATTTCAGTCGGTTCCCTACAAAAACAAAGAGAAGCTCACCCCAGAAGAGATTTGTCTCCTTGCAGTTTTTCTTCTGATCAATCTGGGGGGAAACCATAAGTGTATCCTGCACACACTTGGATGTAGCCCACATCTCTGGCTAGCATCACATTAAGCACCCAGTCTCACAGGGCAGATGGTGATTTCCAGTAAGAGTCCACCTGAGCCACCTGCCTCCAGCAACTGATGCCAGACGTTGTAAAGGAGAATTAATAACAGCAACCCCACACTCAGTTTTTAGGTCACCTCTTCCCAGGGAAGTTTTGCCCAGCCTCCTAGACTTCACAATCAAATTAAACACTGGGAAATAATGAGCTGCAATACAGCACAGGCAGCCAGAGAGCAGTCATTGGCTCATTGGCATGTATCGCCTTTGCTGTGTGGGCTGGAGTTTCTGATAGCATCACAGTACATTCAGAGAGCACAATATGCATCTGCACTATGGGACAGCATCAGTCCAGCAGCACACGGTATACACTGGCAGGTTATGTGCTTGTCCATCAGCTCTACTGGCGCAGGGAGCACCAGGGAACACCATCGCTGTTTCAGAATGAATCTCTCTTGATGTTTACATCTGCTCACAAACATCACAGCCTTTTAGTTTGCCTCCAGCACACTGAAATTCTGCAACACACTCACTTTCATTGACTTATAATTTCTCAAAGAATGCACAGGGCTTGGAACAGGCGTGAGGCAGATGAGGGCAGATATGAAATGCAGCTTTCAGGAGCCACGTTTCTTTTTAATTAATCATACCCAGACCTGAAATGATAGATCAGTCTGCTGTACAGCAATGTGAAACTGATTGGATTTCCATGTAAAATTTATTAAGTGGGGGAGCCACTGCTGGACTCTTCCTATCCAGATGTGCAGTCCATCCAGTGCCGCTCTCCATCTCACTAAACTCAGCCTTCAGCTCCCAATCCCTGGCCCACCCCATCCCCTCAGCTGGCAGGTGGCACCTACTGACCTGGCATCCCTCCAGGGCTGTGGGATTAACAACCACATTCTTACAGCAAATGTCAGGAAAACCATTACCTCCCCATTACCTCAACAGCGTTTTCAAAAGTTAATTTATTTTCCTCTCCTCTTCTCTTTCTTTCTGCAATTTGCATTATCGGTTGCTAAACAGATGATGGCATGCTTCACCCCACCTCACAGCCCTCCCCTTCAGCAATGCTTTAAGTAATTCACTGCTTTACCTTATTATTCCAGCATGTTGTCAAGCACAGCAATTTTATTTCCATCCAAACCACTACTCTTCCCCAAATTAATACCCATTATTTTCTTCTAGCAGAGTTTCAGCTCCTTTATAGCAGTAGAAAGAAAAGATTTCTGGCCACCTGGTGCCATTAGGGAGAGATCTGTGAGACAGCACTGTCCAAGCACTGCCTGTTAATCTCTCTGTTGGCACTGAGATCATTTGGAGTAGAACCCACAGCTCCCCTCCCTACGCACCACTGGATCCCCAGCCATCCCCACTGTTCTTCTCATGGTGTCCCCAAGGCTGCTAGAGGCTGGAGAGGAACCACAGCGCACACATAAGGGACGCACTGCCTCGTGCTTACTGGGAGGAAAGGGCACCAGCAAGGTGCGAGGAAGAGCTGAGCCTAGATGCCAAGCCTAGATCCTAAGCTTTGGACCTAAGCTAAAGCACTGTTTCCTCTGCTTGTGCCCCGCACTGCATCCTGGTTTGGTGAACTGCGGTGCTCAGCATCAACATGAGGTGAAACGGGGCAGCCACAGCAGCAGCACAATGCCCAAAGGCTCTTTCAGAGATGTGGGTGTGCAGAAGGACACCGTGGGTGGTTGTGGCTGCAGATGTGGAAGCACAGAGGTACGAGCAAGAAGGTTACATGGCAGTCTGACACCCAGCCAGGTGGCAGAAATAACGTTTAGTATAAAATCAGTTTATAGGAGAGCATAAATGTAGAGATATGAAACATCTGCTTTCAAAATCATTTTGAAATGAGCTGTCTCAGACATCCTAACAGAGATGGAACAGCAGCAGAGCCAGTGAGGCCCCACTGGGAGCATGGCAGCAGCACTGAGCGTGAGCGGCTGGAGAAGAGAAACAAAAAGATGGCAAAGCTGGTGAGCTGCATCGCCCGGCAGAGCCCTCACCCTTACAGAAACCCCTCAAATGTACTTCAGCCAGAGGTGGTGCAAAGCCAGCCCTCAGCAAGCACTTCTCTAATCAGAGCTCTGCAGACACTGGTCCTGAGCCCCCATCACACTGCAGCACACATAAGGCATTTTCTTCAACGCTGGAAGCCTTGCATCATACTCACCCATTACAGCCATTTGGCAGGTTAGAAACGAAACTTTTAAAGAGCCTTGTTCAATGAATGGCTAAACCTTTACCCTAGGCTGTTTTAAAATGCATCTGCCTGCATAGCAGCAAGGAGGGAGGCATGAAGGTTTGCATGATCCACGTGTGAAACACTGACAGCTGAATTAGAAGCTGTGACCCTTTTTCCCATTGATAAACAATTTAGGGAAACTGCTAGAACATCAGTCTTGGCAACAAAGGTCAGTAGGAAACACACTTCAGGAGTTTCATTAGCAGCACAATTCAGAATCAGGTTCATCCTAACACAACGGCCTCCAGACCAATGGAATAAACAAGATTAAAGCAGACCTCTGATGTGGTGCATTTGTATAGGCAAGTGATGTTAGCTAACATCTCTATAAATGGCTTACACAGACACGACAGGGCAGCCTGGACAGAAACGTCATTTCCCCCCTCCTTACAGTGCAGGAGCTTCATTTGGAAAGAATAAGGAAGGCAAATCAGGGGCATGAGGAAAGCATTAGATAGCAGTGGCACCTTTCTGGCTTGTTTGGAGCAGAAATGAAATGACAGTGGCTGCTCCCTGCCGCCCTCCTGATGTGTTTCACACAGCCATGGTACCCACAAGCAGCACCAGGAGCTCTGCCAACACCCAGCAGCAGCCCCAGCACATGGCAGTCCTTTGGAATCCTTGGAAGTGTCACCAGCAATTCAAAGGAAGAATGCTTAATTGAGCAAATTATTTTTTATTTCCACCTGTTGAAAGAGCTGTTTCTTACCAGCAGAGTCCAACACAGATGTGACATACAGACATGAATACAATTAAATACAGGAAAAATCGAACTATATACAACGAGGCATACATTTACAGAATGGAAAAAGTCTTTATATTATCTATCAGCTCTTGCCAATGTGAAACATCACTGGAACGCAAATATATTGGGGTTTCCTTTTTCTTTTTAACAAAAAGAGGAAAATGCAAGTTAGCATTTGTCCACATACTGAGACCTTAAAGTTTAAGATGTACAGATTTGTGGCACTTCACAGGGTACACAAAAGCTAAAAAAAAAAAAAACAAACAAACCCTTTTTGTTAAATATTTTATAGTTTGGGTATCTAAATTCCAATTAGGGCTACTGAAGCACAAGCTATAAAGTGGTATTTACACAGAGGGAGTTGTGCAAAGTCATGTCAGGCTACAGCTAGTAACTATGGAAGCTGCATGGATGTGACGCAGCCTCACCCGGAGGTAATCCATTAAACTCTCTCATTACCAGCCTTCCAACGCAGCAGCCACCCAGGGAAAACTGGCCTGAAGTTCTTTCCCCCTTCACGACCTTTAAATATTTTCACAGTTTAATGTTGGGCTGCTTCTTCTCTTCATTCGTATTTTAAGTCACCTTTAGGACTGTTTCATCATTCCACCCTTTTCGGATCAGAACTTCCAGCCCTCACTGTCGCTGCGCTGCCCTAAGCCTGCTTTATTCCTTCACTTACGAGTTCATGTTGCCATGGAGGCACAAAGGAACGAGAGAAGTGTAACTTCTTGGTAGTTACAGTATTGCCACAGTGCAGGACCTGCATTTTGCTGGTAGCAGGGCCAAACCCAAGCTTCCCCAAAACATGCTGGGGAAGGTATCGCTGTTCTGCAGCTGGCCTTTACTCAACACAGTTTGGGATGCTTCATTACACCCAGTAACGCCCCTCGACATCCTAACAAGAAACTTGGCTCTTTGGATGCAATCTTCAATTGAGAACTTCAGATGGCTAATTAAAAGAGCTGGTTTAATTAAAGGCTTCCTACCGATCCTTAGGACAAGTCAGCAAAGAAGCATCAGATCCACTGCTAACTGAACACATCCCACAGTCACATTGTGCCCAGAGCCCAGAATGCTACTTCTAAGGTTTTTCATTACCAACAGTTTTCCAAGAGGTACTGACAGTCTCATTCTGGATTTACTTCACATACTGAATTTCAGTATTCACAGATGCGGCTACAGCATATATCATAAAATACCAGTTTTAATTATCTTGCTTATTATCCTACTTGCATCAGCTTATCTGGAATTTCACATCAGCCTGCAGATTTCAGCTGGTTTAAAGTAGATATTTTTAACTCTGCTCTGGAAAAAAAAAAATAGTAACCAGACAACAGTGCCTAAAGCTGTGCATTCCTGCCTTGTTCCAACAGAAGAGCTCTCTCCCAGGACAGGGAGCTCACATCTCTCAGCATCACGCACACAAAGAAGGATGCACGGCCTTTAGAGCAAAGAGATTAAATAAAGTTCCTCATCCCTCTCAATTTATAGCATTACAATTATTCAAACCTTAATCCTGTGCATCAGGCTAAAACCAGTCAGGTGTGTCAGTACAGCAACTGAAGAGAGCAACGAAGGGAATGGACTGAATTTGAAGCATTGCACTGGGTACACTTGATACAGTAAAAAGATCTGCCTAGGTGGTTGGGTATTCAGCTGACAAGAGCAAAGCATACAATTTGCTTCTCATTCATCACTAGCAAGCCTAGAGGATACTACCTTCTCCTCAGCCATAAGGAGACAGAGCTCTGCAGAACTGCAGGAAACCCAAGAGACCATCTCATCACATTAGAAAACAGAAAATAAATTCAGTGTTGTGATTCAAATACAGGAATTCCTGGCAGTATTCTCACATTGTACATGCTGCAAATTGGGCTATGTGTTCCAGATCTCATGGAGTCCATGAAGACATCTACATGTTCAAGCTGCCTGCTTAAAGAAAACCAACCATCTGATTGCTGGTTAACAGCAGGTTAATTTATTGCATTGTCCTGGATGTCAATTTAGTCAATGATGAAATGATCCACTGTTACAGAACTTATTCTATCTGGGCAAAGATGATTTAGCAGAAAGCAATACATAAGAGCATGTTTCAGGATAAAAATAAAAGCGTAATGAAATGGCAAATTGTTCATCTGTTTGAAAGGTAACTATTTCATATCTGTACAGAACTGTGGGAATAATTTCAAGAATAAGAAATAACAAAATATTCAGACCCCTCTTATTCAGGCATTAAAAAAGTAGAAGGAAAGTTATTTCCTCAAGTTATTCTCAAAAAAATCAGTTTTATTTGGACGTGTGCACAACCTGCTGCTCCTCAAATCTTCAGAGAATTGGAAACATGACATTTTTCCCCAAAATCCAGTTGAATCTGTCCTGAGGAATGTAAGTACTCATATATAAATCGGATGGTACTGTCTATGAGTGAGCTTTTTCCTACAAGTCGGGCAGGAGTTGGCGTTCCTAAGAGAGTCGCGGAGGCACTGACTACAGAAGACATGGCCACATTTGGTTGACACAATAAGTCGTCCACTTTGCACGATCTGGAAGGAAAGAAACCACAACAGGTGTTTCACAGAGCTGTGGGGCTCGGAAGGGACCTCCAGAGATCACCCAACCCCTGTTAAAGCAGGATCCCTACAGCAGGCAAACAAGGAATTCAGCTCTGCCAGTCTACTGGCACCGCTTCGGTTCCCACGATCAGTACATGACTGCTGTAGTAACAAACCTAACTCACAGTGTCTTCTCACCACCTTTTCCTCCCCTGCACATGCTACTACCTAGTTTTACCTTAGAACCCACGCCTGCACTCCAAGCGAGCTGTCTGTACCGTCCCACATGTCCTAATGGAGTTGTGCTGTTCACCTTCTTCCCCATTCTCCCTCCCATTGAAAAGAAAACAAGAAAAACAAATGACAACGTGGATCCTTACCTCCGAGTAGCCATCCATGCAAATTGGACAGCTAACAGTACCAGAAGGCCTTGTTGTAAAGGGAATAAAAAGAAACAAGCATACATCCATCAATTTCACAGTACACTGAGAGTTACTGAAACATAAAATGTCACATAATCATCTGACCGCACTGACAAGCCATGACATTTCATCTGAAGATCCCTGCATATCTTAAACTACACCAAATTGTTGCATTCAGTAAACAGTTTGGGTCTCTATCACCTAAGGGAAACAGCTTCTTGGTTTCCATTCCTCCTACAGCAGCCCTCACACCGTGCAGGACACCTACAGCAACACCCATCTTCAGGACATCGTATCAGTGTTACAGAACCATGCAGCTGTCCTTTATTTACTGCTCACTCTAGAAATGAAAGAGGCTGACAAATTCACACATCCTATACTCTAATTAAGCAATATCCCAACCCAGTAACATACAAGTACCACAAACACCTTCCTTATAAAATGAATGATCATACAGGGCACATTTTCACACCGGCTCTTTTATCTACTGCAACTGTTTCCATGTCTCTTAATTCATTCTTAATTCATTGTGCAAGACACACTAGTTAATGATTTCATGGGAGTTTTTGTTTCTTTTTTTTTTTTTTTTTTTTTTTTTAAGAATGAGATACCTTCTAGAAAAGCAGCTACATTTTAGGTGTAAGCAGTATATTTCAGGTTACAGCCTTAGCACGGTCAGAGTCACAACCTTACAGAGATTGCTCCTGCTGCAACCAGAAAATAAACTTAACAGGTGCTAAGAATTTTTGCAGTGTTTTGTCTTCATTTACCTTTACCTAACAAGGGTTTTTTTTGATGTAATCCAAATACTATATTTAGTATAAAATTTAGAGGTACACACTTCAGAGGTAAAATTTAGAGGCTTCTTTACAAATAAATGACTTGAATATCACAACTACTGATTGCAAGTTTTATCAATTCATGGCCAAAACTGGACCAAGAGCTCTGCACGGTCACTGCAGCCCCAGAATTACACACTACACCATTCTACATTCAGGGTTCTTGGGCAAGGGGAAGCTCTCATGATACTGCTGCCTTGGGAAACGTTATTCAGTTCCTGCAACATGTAGGCCTGGGTAGCAACACATACTAACAGAAGGAAACATTCCCCCAAACCCCTTTGCTCAGAAGACCAGCTTGGCAGCCGTTTCTAAGCTGAGGTCACAGCTGCACCTCCTCCTGCCTTTGCTTGCCAGGACAGCTGTACTGCAAACACCACACACCAAACAACCCTGCATAAGGGAACGTGTCATCTCTGTGTGCTGATTGTTTTCTATTAGAAGGAGTAAGAGCTTCCTGCCACTTTCACGGACAGATTCATCTTCATTTTAATTGATCACAAGAAGCAGCTCCAGTAACTTTATACCATAAACTCTTGGCTTTACTGCACATGCAGAAAAACATCTTTTACAGTGCTGGTGAAAAAGCACTGGAACAGGCTGCACAGAGAGGTTGTAGAGTCTCCTCTGGACCTCCTCAAGACCTGTCTGGACACTGAGCTGTGCCTCTGCAGGGAGCCTGCTTTAGCAGGGGATTAGGCTAGATGATCTCTAGAAGCCACTTCCAACCCCTGCAATTCTGTAATTCTGTCACCTCCCTTGTTAAGCAACAGTTTATATAATTCATTAATGACAAGAAGAATAAAAAGCATGAGATATCCTTCAACCCATAATCTCAACTTCAAGCAGCCAGTAATACCAGTCCATCCCTAGTTTCACATACATAATTAAATTCCATTAATTTCTCCGTTTTTTACTACTCAAATTCTTTAAGCAGAGGCTATAATACCAACTCAATAATTCATCACAACTGATGATAACCTTCACGTTATCATCACGTGAGCAAGACTAACTCAACTCTGTACTCTGCCACAGAGCCACTTACAGTGTGAAACTATAACCTCACCTTCATGTCAGTGATAAAAGTTACAGCACTGAGTTGTTTTAGCCCTGCCAACACAGAGCAGGAAGGCCCATCTTTAACAGAAAAGTACGAGCTTGAGGCATCTCAACATTACATTTTTACATTAACCAAAAATAAACTCAAAGTAACAAGTCTGCAAATTCAGTGACAAAGAGCACTGTTCTCACATGCTACAAGCATCTTCACATAGCACATGTAATAACTGAAAACCAGTGTTTCTGTTCTCCCCCACACTGCCCTCTAGTAAACTACAAGGCTCAAAGCTCAGTGTGATGAGCTGCTTCCCAAAATGAGCTCAAAGAGGCTGTCATGGAGTCCACCTTAAAATGCCTCCCTGAATTTTAGAAGAAATAAGTTAGCCAGCATCCATACATTTGTGAGTTTGGTTTTTATGTTGGTTTGCTTTTAAATCACAGTGCATGTCTTAACTCAGAGGAGACTGCTGGGCCACAGAGCTGGATCTGAGTCGAAGGTACCCAAAGAAAGGATTAACAAAATCTGAGCGTTAAGGCCACATATAAATGCCTGCAGACACTGGGATGCAAAGAAGGTGAGTTAGCATATCCTCACTATCACACTGAGTTGTCTCTGTCATCATGACAGACCACTTAAAATTCAAAACAAAATCCCCCACCACTGCTCTTCAGAGATTATCAGCACATCTTTTGCTAACTTCTTATCCTTTACTCCCTGGTAACTAGAGCAGGCAGATCAGCTGTGCTGTAAATGCCATTTACTTGGCTCAGATCCAGTACCTCATGCCATAAGGTCAGATGGGGATACGGAAAGTTATAAGCTTGTCAGAGATAAGAACAGCTGTCCCTCCTCAGTAACTGCTCTAAGTCAGTTGTTAAGTTTGACTATATTTAAAGTGCATAAGTAGGTGCTTAGGAGGTACATATAATGCAGAGAAGAGCGGATTTTTTTCTTATGTATTGCACTTCAGTTGCAGTTTGGTTTAACCTATTTCCTCATCAGAGAGAATCACTTAATGATAATACAACCTGGACAGCATGGCCAAAGCACACAGCACAACAGAAGCCTATATTACAGCCCTTATTAGAATCTGCTTTTTTTTTTTTTCCTCCCAAAAACATATTTTCAAAGATATTTACACCACTTTTCTCTTGTGACCACATGACAAAGGTAGACAAGGAAGCTGATTTCATTCATAGTCTAGGAAATTGTGATACCAAATCATCTACATCAGTGGAAAAGATTTCCACACCTTAACAGCACTCCGAGAGCTTGGCACGAGTAAATGCAATACATCATGAGCCACAGATTGTCACTAATCCTCCTTCCTTGCCACATCTCTTTAACTTGTAAGTTGTGTGCAAAGCTGTACATCCATCCTGCGTTGGCTTTTTAGTCAAGAAGTGCAAACAGTATCATTCTGGCACTTTGTGAAATGCTATGCTGTATTAATCTGAAGTGGAAACTAAGTTCTGATTTCAAAGATAAGCCAGACCATAATGATCTGAATTAGTCCTGCATGTACAGAACAGCAAAACTCAACGTTTGTTAGGTCGTAAGGCATACATACTTGGAGCTTGCAGTTTCATCCTCCAGTGGTCCCAGCTCTCGAGACACTTTATCTGTCACATACACATCATTATCTCTTGTTTCATCTTCATCATCGCTGCTGAGCACACAGCTGTCTGACTGCCGCTGGCCTCTTAATCTGAGATTTCTCCTCCGCTGCTGATTCTCTGCAATTTATTTATTAAGTTAGATATACCATAAAATACATACAGAGAATTCTATAACACTATTTTACTACCTTAAAGAATTTTAAAAAATGCTATTTGATTCTTTAAAATAAATAAAAAAGGGTAGAGAAGGCTCAAGTTTCTGAATAGCACAGTGAGGTAGCGCTGCAAAAAGGTTTGGTAACAGTGAGCACTTTGTTCAGGATGGTATAATGCTTGAGCTTAGAAGGGAGCACCATCCCCCACAACTACCTAAACTGCTTAGAGCACTGATATCATTGCCAGCAGCCAGTTGCTGCTTCAGGGGATTACTGACCATATGTACAAACACACACATACCTCAGAACATTCCTCTGGTCACAAAGTTAAGTCATTTTTCACAAGTGACAGAAGAGATGCTTAAGTAACACATTTAAATTATGTAGTTGTTTTGGTTTCTCACTCATTCAAGAACAGAAAATTTCAGCGAGCCTGCAAAACCCCGAGGTTATAGAACTGCTGTTTGCTTTTTCACCATTGGAAACTGCACACAAGAATTATTTCTTTGCAACTGCATCATTAACACCAATCACGGAGCCCTACTTATAGTCACAAAAATAACCACAAAACTTAAAGTTGCTCTTATTGAGCTATAGCCTCTATTGCACGTGGGGCTTTTCTTTTGTTGTTTTTTCACTTCCTTCCTTCCTTCAGAGCCCCAAATGGATTACATTCTAAGTAAGCAGTTAACAACTTACTAACACACCTCAGGTATTGAACAAGGTCTGAAAGGTATAAAGGATTATTTTTTTTATACCTTGCCTACAATTACAGTTACACCTGAAGTAGAAAATACCTAACTTGTTAGCACTAAGCAATACTGCATTTGAGGAGTGTCAGACTACATAATGAAAATATTATGAACTTTGATATCTTTCTACTTCATTTCCTTCAGTGCAACACAGGCTAATAAGGTCTTTGAACATTGTCTTATTCAAAGCAGATATTCCACTGCTACAAATGCTAACCCAAGTGACTTCACGCTTATGGAACTTCTGCAGTGGAGGAGAAAAATATGTTTTGATAACATTTGATGGATTTTATTTCAGATACTTTAGCTTTCACAGAGACCATGAAACAAAGATTGAAGCCATTCTCTAAGATACTGGCCAGGTACCACAGCATTGCTCTTTGTCTTTTTCTGAAAGCAGTTTCAATTCATGTTGCTTAAGTTTGTTGGAAAAGAAAAGGTTCAGGACAATTCCTTGATCACTTGTAAAATAGGAACTCACCTTCAACAATCTTGAGCCAATACACACGGCGGGGGAGGGAAAAGAACAATAAAATTAGATTTTAGTATGCACTAAAGTTTTATGTACAAGTACCAGAAATCTACGCAATTAACAACAAAGCAAGATAAGAATTTCAAGATATCACAATGTTATTTTGATTAACAAAGTGTTAAAATAGTTTCAGAGCAATGATTAATTTATTAAGTGATTACTTCAGGTTTTGCCTTTACTGCTGCTAAGGGACAGAAAAGGAGGCAGCTTAGGAAACATCTTAATCGCTCTGCTCCCCAGTTTCAGTACCCTAACTCGATTGAGGCTGGAGACAGCTTTATGTCTTTCTCCCCCCAAAAAAGAGGTTCAGGTGTGATATCCATGAATGCTTCAAATTACACTAAAAACTCCTAAAAAATAAACAGAAACCAACCCACTGCTACATTCAGTGGAACCAAAGCCAGGGCAACGCAAACCATGCTATAAGGATTGTGGCATTCCCCTTGTACAGCAACAAACCCTGTTATTCCTGCTGCTTGTTTTTGCAAGGCAGTAGTGGCATCCCCAACCCAGTGTTATTAACTACACTGCAGACTGGATCAAATACTGCTCAAGCTTTAGTAACAACAACAAAGTGAATTTCTGAAGACTTCCTAGAGCAAGAAGTTTAACTAGTTCCTACCATGGTCAGGCAGCCTACAGATGCCTGAGCACTTCATGTTTGTCACCCTAAAGACTTATTGCTACTTATTTAATTTTCTCTTTAAATCATCAGCCTTTTTCTTTGAAATATTCAATGCAGCTTCAGCTTTAAATGGCATTTACTTACATGTTCCATGATGGGTATACAACCCCAACACTGGGAGCAACAAGCTATTTTAGACTGTGCTCATTACCTGCAGGTGGTATTTGTAGATGTAAATGCATTAATAGGTCCATCCAGGATTGGACGTGAGCTCTGAAATGCTCAGTAAGAGCCACACTTTAACCTCTTAAGGTAGGCTACTTACTTAGAAGCTCATCTTCTGAAAAACCAGGGCTCTGGTAAGCTACGACCCAAGGCCCTGTCTTGTAAAGCCTAAGTTTATTTCTGCAGCAAGTATTTCCATTTGCTTGTACTGCACAGACCTCCTAAGGCAGGTCAACACACATTTCAAAAGAATGCATATATTGAAAAGTCAATTTTGAACTCATCCTTAGACTCCATCAGCAGCAAGCACAACACAGAACACATCTGCTACAGCATTTAGATAAGCGTGCCACTACTTACCACAACAGAATCATTGTGAGTTAGATCAACTACTACAGGATCAGAAGATTCACACGTGAGATCTACTACTTCTTCACCAGCTTAAAAACATAATGTTAGAACACAAATCAGAGATCACAGGAGGAAAGTTACCCATCAGTGTATAACAGGCTGAGCGTATAACACTCAACATTGCCCCATTCTCTTCTCTTTGGTAACATACTCAACTTTTCACTCAAGCTTTGCTGTCAGCAGTGTATATACAGTATTAACAGCTTCTGCAAGTTGCAGTGCATAAGTAACTGACCTCACATACTTTCTGATACAGCAGTAGCTTGTGAGAGGTAGACAGCAACACATTAATAAAGGAGAATGCTTATCACACTGTAAAACATGAATCAAACAGGACATAAGAGTTATAAGAGTCTTTTCCAGTGCAGTGCTGTAAGTGTTCCGCCTCACGTCTCACATACCTTTCAAAAGCCAAATACATAGCAAAACCAGAAGGTGCCATTTATTTACCTGGAGACCACCAGCCACTTCTATTCCTTTCTTAAATTTCAGAAGACGGTTTAATTAAATACTCAGAAGGTTAAAGAAGCTTTTTTGGATTCTGGTTGTTTGATGAAACACACTTGGTCAGGGCCCTTCCCCTCAAGGGACTGATGACAGACTTTTAAATATCTTTTAAAAACTTGTAAGTTCCCAAATTTAGTTTGCTGTTATCTGAAGCAGCAGCTGCAGTAACTCCAAGTGTATCAGATTAGATAACTGGATGTGTGAGCAGCACGTGTGCACCTTTCTTACCTAATTACATGGTTTAGTAGGAGCTATTGGGAATAGGTGAACGGTTGGACTGCGTGATCTTTTAGGTCTTTTCCAACCTTGGTGATTCTATGATTCTAATTCACCCATCTCTGGAAATGAAAGCACTGCACCCCAGTAACAATCTTAAACAGTTGTTGTTAGGCTTGCTGTTTACTGCTTCCATACTATGTCCTTTCCTAAATAAATAGCTTTCCACTCTCCTTCAAGGGGCCTTGAAACTGGCAAAACACATGTTAAGCGGATCCCCAGCACTCCAGGAGCAGCCCGTTTTCTCACAGAGGAAAAAAGAAAGCTTACCACTTTCTTCCAGTTCTATTGGCTCTCCTTCTGAAGCCATCTCTGTGGTAGAAGCTATCAGCCTGCTTCGTTTCTGAGCTTGCCTAGAGTTAGCTGATCCTCCACGGCGCTTTCTTGGAGTCTAAGAGAGAAGAAACCCTTAGCATGTTCTTTAGGACTAATATTAACGCAGCCCTCACTTTTGCAACATCGAGGTCAGCATATCAAGGTAGACAAATCACACTGCTAGAAGCCCAAATACAACATAAATGTAACAGTGGTATGGGGGACTCCTATCTGAACTGATCGCATCAAGGAGCAGACATCATGTTGGGTCTCCCACCAGCTGAGTGACAAAGGAAAAAGCCACACCACATTCTGAAGGTCTACATGAGAAGATGAGCTCAATTACATCAGGTGTTAGCTTTCAGCCAATCATCTGAATCAGTCTAACCTAAAGTTTTCACCCATGCTCCAAGTATTTCTGAAACACTGCTAGCACCTAGAGATGAGAGATTTTTAAATATCACAGAACATGACGTTAAATGAAAAATTAGTGCTACACCATACTTACAGTAAACTGTTAAAAAGCTTTATACAAACATGATAAACAATATATTTTAAGAATCACTTTTACATTGATCAGTAAAATACTTACTGTACTCATGGTGTTTCTTGATCTAGAGTTACAGAAAAAATAAGAGGTACAAATACCATAAAATTAAATGCAAGGAAGCTACAACTTTCAATTCCTTATATTTCTTTAGGTAGTACACTGTTAAAAAGTCCAGATTTCTCAGTATCTTAGAATGACGTTCTTCCAAACCTATAAGAAAAGAAGAGAGAAGATTACCTATCTGTAATTCCTGTTCTCTCAAATACACCCGAACTTAAGGATGTCGTTTCTGAGCCACGAGCTTCTGACCAGAGCTGGAATGGAAGTCCCACAAGTTTAGTATCAGAGCCACAGACCCTTAGAGCAGGGCCTGCAGCTTCACTTAAGCTCACTTGCCTAGCTAAACGCCAGAGTAAGTCAGTTTAACAGCAAACCAGAAAGATACTAAGGAGTCCCAATTAACCTTTATCTGAAAAACAACCGATTATTTGAAGGCAAGGTTTGTGTGGGGGCAGAAATAACCATGAAGCCATCTTTAGAGAACAAAAATTACAGATAAGCAGTTCTCTTTTCTCCAAACCATGGCCAGATTAAAACACATGGGAGCCAAGCAGCTTGAAAGGAACCCAAAGCAAGTGGAGAACAGATATGGCTGCATAGAAACGCTCCGGGAGTCATTCTGTGTCACAATGGCAGGGGTTGTGCCCTGCTCAGCAGGCAGCTAGCTGCTGGATGACCCAGTCCTACTGTCCCTGCAGGGCTGAGCTCACTGCTCTCTGCTCACAGCTCTGGCTCAGGGCCAGAGTTCATAAGGTGCCCAACTGTGGCTCACCCAGTGCAGTTCTGGACACAAACATGGGCACACATCTGAGCACTGCTGAGCCCACTGACTCTCACACACTCCACTACCTGTATGCAAAGCAGTAAGCCCTAAAGATGCTCCATGCACACAGAACCCACCCACACAACCTTTCTCATTTCCATACCATTCTGTATCTGGGTGGAGTGTGTACACCTCATCCTGCTGCTTACAGGTTAAGATTTCTTTTCACCTCCCAGTGAATGAAGCTTTTCCACCACCTCTCAACCTTACCAAGGCTTGGGAAGATCCTGTTTTACTAAAGCAATGCCCTGTTCGATGATCACAATCTTCAGGTGCTGTACACCTCCCTTCTGCACAATCATTACTTACAGGTTTTATCCAGGGGCTTTTAGAGACAAGGGGAGAAGAGGGAGCTGAAGCAAGGAAAGCAAGCAGCACAAGGGATGAGGGATGTCAATAAAAAGCATGTCCCCTAAACCCAGCCCTGGCACTGCTGTGTTCCTTCTAACTGCAGCTTCTCAAAGACAAGATACCACCTTCATCTGCCAGCTTCTGAACTGTTGGCAAAGCATGCTGCTCCCCCCACAGCAGGAAGGTAATGGGGTGAGCAACAGATGAGGCACATTAACTCACTGTGCCACTGTGCTCTGCATGCCAGCTTCACCCAGAAAGCCAAGCTACAACTTCCTCAGCTTTCCTCTGATACAGAGCTGGAAAAATACTTTAAGTATAAAAAGCTGGGGAATACTGACACACACACACACACACACACACACACACATATATATATATATACAAAATTATATGTATATATATATATATATGAGGATCATAAGGAATTAATCTTCATACAAGCTTTAAAATTACCAACAGCTGGAACCATTTTTGTTGCAGTCTCTTAAAGCAACCTGATGTATCCACACTTAATACAGAGCCTACACAAAGCCCCAGTGCTCCTGCCCTGTTCTAGTTGCTAAGGGCTCAAACCTGAGCTTCTCTGGGAGCTTCTTTAAAGAAGAACGTAGAGGATGGATCACCACAGGGAGCTCACTGCTGTAAAACCACCTGAAAACAACCCAGCAAGAGAAGATCCACCAACATCCACAAGAGTCACTAACAAAGGAAACCAGACTGCTGGAATTTGTTCCAACTGTGGAAGATGTCTTCTGATCCAGCAACATGTTTGTCTTGTAACAACAAACCTCTTCTGTGTGGCTGCAGATTTCTACAGTAGGTTCTTGGCTTACTCAGGAAGCTTCTCCCAGCGCTGACTACCCAAACCACAAGGAGGAAGAAAAATGAAGCCTAGCTTACTTTCTTTGGTACAACACAGATCAAGTTACCACAACATGAGAGCAGAATTAAGAGCTGCAAATCCTGCTCGTTTAGGCACCTGCTCACTAATTAGCACTAAAAGGCTTTCAAAGCCCCAGGACCACTCACAGGCCCAGATAGCTCTATCGACCTGTAAGGTTTGTGAGTTCCTCCTCCAGCACACACTGCTCAACCAGCATCACAAGCAGGCACTGGGGGGTGCAACCCCAACCCAGAAGCATCAAATAACTCCAGCTGCAGCTATTAACAAAGTTATCTATTATGTTTGTAGCATAATCACTTCCAGATCCTAGAATGAGGATTATTACTTTTTTTAATAATGAGGATTTTTTTTTCCAAGTAAAGTTCAAGATTCTATTCTTTTTAAATGCAAAAAGTTTGCAGATAACTTAGCAAGCCCATAAATGCTTCCAACTGGCAGAGAACTTGTATTGCATCACTGCAGGACGATGCATTCCTGGAATGAACTGCTCGTCCCTCCTCATTCCACATGCAGTTACTGTTCTGTCATTCACCTCTCCCAAATCTTAAGTGTTGCTGTCGTCACAGTGAAGCCCAAGGCTTATTCTAGCCAACCTATAAACAATTTTGGTACTACAGCTACCAGCTTCTCTGGACAGGTAGATACTGGAGAAAAACAAAGGAAAAGCCATCTAAACAAAGGATGTTAATAGTAGGAGTAGAGTAACATTGCATCTTGTATATTTATGGCTTAAGTCTCCCACTAACTTTTTTTTCAATATAAAATAAGTCAATATTTCCACTGAGTTCAAGCTGACCTCATTTAATGGCTCAATTACATTTCTAAAAACTGCATTCTCTATATGGTATGAAACAAAAGTTTTTCTTGCATGACTCTGGGAACAAAGTTTTGACCTCTCACATGCTCAGAATGATTTGGAGCAAATCAACTTAAGCAAGCAGCAAGTATTTTCACTGTGTCCAACTAACACAAACAACACTTCACTTCATAAACATTCTAAACATTACCAATGCACAGAAGGCAGTAATGTCAGACTCGGTATGTGCAAGTCACAAGTGACACAACTGTACAAATCACAGAAAATCCCAAGTTGGAAGGGACCCATAAGTATCATTGAGTCCAACTCCTGGCTGCACAAAGAATCACCCAAATCAAACAGCACAGGTGGGATTTATCAGAGTAGGACAGGTTGTGCCTTCACATTCAGCTCCTCACTTCTCTCAAGACCTCTCAGTGCACTCATAACAGCATGAAACAGCAACAAAGATGTGAGCCTATAAAAAAAATATATATCCAGTGGTTCTCTCTGCAGTGTTGCCCAGGGCCAGGTCCAGAGGCATAACCTGGAGATCATGAGCTCCCCTACCCACCAGGCAGTCCTGCTGTGTTGGGAGATGTAGGATAGCCATCACAAGGACCAGAGAGGCGTGGGGTCTTCTCCTTGGAGAAAAAGAGAATTATAGAATTGTTTGAGTTGGAAGGGATCTTTTCAATGCTGTTTGATCCAACTCTCCTGCAATGAACAGGGATACCTACAGCTTGATCAGGTGCTCAAGGCCAATGCTGTTTGATCCAACTCTCCTGCAATGAACAGGGATACCTACAGCTTGATCAGGTGCTCAAGGCCCCATTCAGCTATTCAACCCATTCAGACCAACAGCCTGTGCCAATATCTCACTGCCTCATTACAAAAAACTTCTTGCCTACATCCAATCAAAATCTTTATTTTTCTAGCTTGAAAACATTTCCCCTTGTTCTGTCACCACAGACACTGCTAAAGAGACTGTCTCCTTCTCTGTAGCTCCCCTGAAAGACTGCTATCAGGTCATCTCAGAACCTTCTCTTCTCCAGGCTGAACAGCCCCAGCTGTCTCAGTCTGTCCTTGTGGGAGATCCATCCCTTGGATCACCTTTGTGGCCCTGCTCTGGATGTGCTCCAACAGCTCCATGTCTCTCCTGTACTGAGGGCTCCACATTTGGATGCAGCACTCGAGGTGAAGCCTCACAAACACAGAGCAGAAAGGCAGCATCATCTCCCTCACACTGCTGGCCACAGTGCAGCCCAGGATCAGGTTGGCTTTCTGGGCTGTAAGGACACATTGCTGGCTCACGTCCAGCTTGCCATCCATCGTTACCCCCAGGTCCTTTTTGGCAGGACGGCGTTCCAAAAGCAGCCTGGACGTGGGTCTGGGCACCCTGCTCGCGCAGTGCCGGGCCAGAGATCCCTGAAAACCTCAGCCGTGCGTCCCAGGCGTCTTTATAGGCGGCCCTGGTTTTCCTCCAGACCGCACCGACAGCGGCCACTCAACGCGCTCGATTCCCGCACTGAGGCTCGCAGAGCCGCAGGAACTCGGCACGAGATGCTGCGGAGCCAGAACGAGCGCAGCCCCGGCCCGGCCGCACCCCGGGCACCGCGCACAAATCCACCGGCAGGCATAAAGGCATGGCCGCGGGAACGCAGCCAGAGCTGCCATTTGGCCGCCCGATCTGTTTCGGGAACGCAAACAAAACGCGACGAGGACCGCTTGGGAGATCGGGCTGCGCGCGGCTCTCGGTGCGGGATTTTCTCGGCGGCCGCCGCTCGCTTTCGGAAAGACGCGGAGGCACGGACGGAGGCGGGATGCCCGCAGCCGCCGCCCGCAGCGCCGCGTCACGGTGCAGAGCGCAGGCCGGCTCCGAGCCCCGTTCCCAACCGCGGGCCGCGGCGGCGGGCCGGGGCTCCCCGCTCGGCTCGGAGGCCGCGGTGCATGCAGGTGCCGCGAGAAGCTCCCGAGCCGCAAGCAGGACCGGGCCGCTCCCCGCCCGGGGAAAGGGCCGCGGTAGCCTCCGGGCCCCCGGAGAACGGCAACGCCCGCCCGGCCGCGGTCCGGCGGCCCGGTCCTCCCCTCGACCCGGCGCCGGCCGCCCCGCCCCCACCGCAGCCGAGAACCGCCCCGTAGAAGCGCGGCCCCCTCCCGGCCTTCACCTGCCGAGTCGCGCGACTTTAGCCAGTCGCCGCTCCAGGCCCGGCGGCACGAGCCCGACCTGCTGCGCTCACCTTCCGCCGCCGGCCCGGCAACGGCGCAGAACAGCTCTCGCCCCCGCCCTTCCGCCATTGGCTGCAGCGCCGCTCTGCGGCGCGAGGAATGGCCGCCGCGCACGTCGGCGGGGGGGCGGGGATCCGCGTGGCCCCGCCTCGCTTCCGGCCCCGGGCGCCGCTGGGAGCCGCGGTTCTTTCTCGGCTCTGGAGCCGCCCCGCGAGCTGTTCTCCCTGACCTCGGCTGTGCGTACTCGCGCCGGGCTGCGTCCCTTCTGCTCCCTGGAGGCGTTCCCCCACTTCCTGGGCAAATTCGTCACGGCCACAGACCCCGGGGATCGTTCCCTGTGGCCTCTGCCGCGATTAGTCCCGCTCCTCTGCCCGTCTCCCCGTAGAAGCGCACAGGCGGTTTCCACGGCCTCACCTCGCTGTCAGCAGGTTTGCTTTGGCCGCTGTCCCTCAGCTCTGCGCTGACTGCCTCCCGCCCCCACCTGCCTCTCTGCCGTTCTGCACGTACACTCGCAGCTTTTCTGGAGTCTTCTCTCCCCTTTTCTGGGTGAACAGTTCTTAAGCTTGCACAAGGTTTCATTCCTGCCACACCAACGCAGCGCTCTCTGTCTCTGCGTGCAGACAAAGAAATACTGACTGCTTAAGGCAGATGCGAGTGCCTAGCTGGCACTCGGGCTTTGCCTCCCCATGAGGGTGCAGGGCTGAAAGAAGCACCGACACAGCAGTGGCTGTGCTAGGGCAGCACGCAGCCTTATGTTAAACCTCCTGCTCTTCCACAGCTATTCTGGGCATCTTTATACCCTCAGGCCACGATGAAGTTTTGTGATCTGGTCATTTACACTGAAACAAGGGCTCTCACTTTTATCCAGGTGATTCCAGAATGTGAAATTTACAGCGTCGAAAGAGCTTTCTTACTGAATGAGTCTGTCGCTAAGCCCCCACAGGAGAAGTTTCTGATTTTGTGTCTGCATAGGGTATTCAAGAACCAGTCTTGTCCACTTATGCTCTTTTCTCAGAGGCACACACTTAAATGAATCATGAATTATTCACACCCCTGTGTTTACAAGCTGACTCCCAATTATCTGTGTGCAAATCAGCCCGGCCATTGGTTATCTGTGCCACTGGGGCAGCACAGTGAATGCAGCTGTATCGCTTCAAAGCTCACTCAGCTCTGATAGCACTGCAGCTGGTTTTGTAATTCAAAGCTAACAAGTCCTGCCAGGCCTTTGCCAGCTTTCTGTTGGGTTGCTTTAGGTCTCAGTGTAGCATATTCTTGGAATGAGTAATATTATATTAAGTGCTCTGGTGGCCGTAGGCAGAGTGGCTTCAGACAGGGTCTGCCTCCAACATCAAGTTATACATGTTTTTTTTTATGAGGAGCTGTGGTATTTTTAGTGTTATCTATTGCAAGATCTGCAGTCATCATAAAATCAGTGGGCAATGGACAAAAGGATTATATTGGAATGTTTCCTCAAAGACTCAAAATTTTCTACATTCCTCAAAACATCAATTCTGAAAATGAATTTGCTCATCAGGTCCTCAAGTAACAAGAACAGGGCTCTTTGTCACTTCCAATGGTAAAGAATCCACAGCTAGATTATTGAGATTCCTCAGCCCTTTCATTTGGAAGCTGGGAAAACGTAGAGAAGGAAATAGTTATAAGTCAGTTTGAGTACAATTCAGTAAAAATTCTGAAGGGGGGAAGTAGAGTATGGTATATTAGATTTCTTAAATTTCTCTGTCACTTACTTCAATACTTTTTTTTTCCTTAACATTCTCAAAAAACAAGCAGCATCAAAAAGTTTAAGAAGTACTACTCAGCTATGCAATATCCTGAACCATGAGTGTCAGCCTTGTTAATTGCTAGTTTTTGGAAAACAGAGGTGTTACAGTCAAGAGCTGGCATATTCTGGAATATGACACAACAAAATACTGAACATCCACAAAGGAAGTTCAACTCCCTGCCACCCACCGTCTGTCATTTTAAGCTTTTACACTCCTCTGCCAGATATAATGTCATGGTTGCTTCTTTTCTGTAGTTCTGCTGTCATTCCTTCTTTTCACTCTCCTAGGTTAGGAGATAAGTTCCCTATCTCTTCCTACTGAGAATGAGTCCTTCATTGCTTTAGTGCACCACGGCAGTGCTTACAATGAATGAAAGGCACATTTTGTCAGCTTGCAGATTGTGGAAACGATCCTCACAGCTAGATGGCAACAAAAGAATTCCACTGGACTTCCTACAGTAAAAAGTGAGAAATGTAATGTTGTGGGAGCACTAAAAGCAGCTGCCTGACTCTAATGTCACCGGCATTTTCCTTCAATTTAAATATTTGCAATAGCCTTAATTAAACACTTAGTAACTGGCATCACGTTGAAATAGAAATACATTACGTAGTCTTACTGCTGTGCAGACTTTAATTGAGATTTATATCCTCCTTGGTTTTGTGCCTAGAATAAGTCTCGTGATTTAAGAGCTGTTTTACACAGTATAGAAATTGTCATAGAGGGCAAATTATCTTCTAGGTGAGTAACAGAATTCTGACTTTCCTGCAAGCAGCTTGCTAAAGAGATCCAACAACGCTGTGTCCTCCTTACACTGTTTAAAGACTGAGAAGACTGCAAATAGAGGGATGGTCTCTTGGGTTGCTGAATGCAGCCTATGGCAACTGTAGGCTATGGTGTCATCTCAATCTTCCAAACAATTTTCTTTCACCCTCTAAAACCAGTGTTGAAACTGGTGATCTTGTTACACATAGTTACTGTCATGTAAGATGATGTGTTAGGAACTTGGGCCGAGCATGGCTGCTGAAAAAATGCTGATGTAAACAAGTATTGCTTTTTTTTGCCCCCTCATTTTTATTCTTTAGGAAAGTGAACACAGCAACTCATGGCACAGTATACAGTGATGACAGTAATATAGACCTCAGCATTCTTACCCAGACACCGGCCATTTGGGTTTCTTACAGCTTTCCATTCTAATCAGAAAAAAATATATGATTACAGCTGAAAAATAGAATTCCCTTATAAAACATTAACACATTTTGATTCTACTATGTCTGAATGACCCAAATTTTGCTATTAAAATGGTAAAGATCAAATAAAGATTACAACTCAACCCTGTAGCAAATAGTTGCACTGGGAGATTTCCAGCAGGCCTGGGCTTGTTCCAAGTGTACTTTATTTTGCTTGGGAGCGCAGGATGCAAGCTGTGGCTCTGCTTCTTGCTGCCTCGTGGGCAGCCATTTTCTGGTCCGTTTCTCTGGCCATGAAGCCGTACTGAAGAGTCTTGAACCGCCTTTCCCGACTCTCTTCCAGTTCTTTCCCACGGCTCCACTGCAAAGAGTCCTGTAGAGATGACACACAGAAGATCAGACTGCTGAGAATATAATGGTTTTGTTTAGAGGATACACTGAACTTTTATTTGACAATTTGTCTGGCTGGCAGCACAGCTAACACGGCTGGGAAACATCATCAGTTTGGGCATGATGAATGGAAAGGAACTCAATTGGGTTGCTCAGTTTATGATGAAGTACACAGCTGCAACACTACACAGAATGTGTGGTCGATAGAAAACTATTGGGATGGCTTGCTCCCCTGCCACTACCTCATGTTCTTTCTCTGCAATCAAGTTATCCTTGAAGCCACAAATGAACAAACTCCATCACACTCTGCTGTTAGCTGATTTAAAAGCTGGTTCACAAGGGAGCATTCCAAAAAAAGCTCAGAAGCAACAGAAAACAGCTACTTCTTCATCTGATTTTTCACTGAACGTGGTATTTTTATTTTTATTTTTTTAATTAATGGTAGTTTTTAATATATTTTTTTTTTTCCCCACAGAATTGTAGGGGTTGGAAGGGACCTCTGGAGACCATCGGGTCCAACCCCCCTGTAAAGCAGGCCCCCTAGAGCAGGCTGCACAGGTAGGCATCCAGGGGAGTCTTGAATATCTCTAGAGAAGGAGAATCCACAGCCCCTCTGGGCGGGCTGTTCCAGTGCTCTGTCACCCTCACTGTGAAGAAGTTCCTTTGCATATTGGTGTGGAACACACTATGCTCCAGTTTATGGCCACTTCCCCTTGTTCTGTCCCCACAGACTGCTGAAAATATCTTAGTTTTCCCAATTGCAATATAAATTCTGTTTATTAAGAACTTTAATAGTTATTTTCAAGCAAATGTTACTTTCAATTAAACCAGCACAAACCCATTGGGCCTCAAGGGCTATCCCTAAAGTAACTGAAGCCTCAGTCTGGATTTGGGGCTGTTGTACACAGGTTTAGTCTCACTCCTTTTCAATATACTGAAGAACCTAAAAGGTACTAACTGAATGTCAGGTAAATACTGCACTGTAATTAAACACTTTTCCTATAGCTTTACTAACACCATTAACAGCAATATGCAGTTCATCTAGAATGAAGATGCTGTTGGGCATATCTGACATGCACTGAGCTACTTCCCTGTAATAACATTTGGACGGGGTCCAAATTCAAATGCAAATTGAATTTGGGTCCAAAGCCCAAATGCAGAGCTGAACAGCACTGACAGAAGATACACCAAAACATCTAAGTAATTTTAAGTAACCTTAAGATTATCCTGTTGTTTTTTTTTTTTCTTTTTTACAGATGTCTTAACAACTAAGCAAGCCATAAACAAAAATATTGTGACATCTTAGGAGGGTAACTGTCTAAAGCTTTGCTAAAAAAATTAATAAATAAAATATAAAATCTAACTTAAAAACAAACAAACAAGCCTTGTTTGTTTGTTTGTTTGTTTTTCCCACTTTTATGCAACACAGGAGCACTCATACAGACCCACATCAGTACTAAAAAGTCTGAATTTATAATTTGTTTATCTTATAAATGTCTCACATTTGTAATTATATAGCTTCTTGCCTTTGAAGTCTGCATTTATTGCCTTTACTTTGTACTGGACCCCATTCAGCAAAGTGATTAAGCATATGTTCAAAGTCTCAGTTCAGAAAGCCATCCCAATTTAGGAAATGCTTTCTTCACTATTTTATTTGCTAAAAGCAACAGACCTGGTGTTCTGTGTAAGCATTCACTTACACATGCAGTGGCTTGAAATAGGGATTCTGAGGACTGCAAAAATTGGTACTCTGAAAGATTGCACAGTTTCAGTTTTTAAACTATGTGCATTTGAAAAATACAATTTTCCTCTTCAATGAATTCAGCTTCATCTTTTCCACAGAACAAGTAAAGAGTTATTATTTTAGTGGACTGGGAGATGTAGTTCTAATTTCTTACTGGACTGGTACAGCTTTTAAAATGTGACCCCATCATGACTGTTCACTGCAGTGGCAGGGGCGGCAGTAGCAGCAGTTCTTACCACTTGACTTCAGATGTTTGCCAAGGAAACACAACCACTGCCACCAGCATTAGGCTGGTGAAAGCACCAACCTGTCAGTGCTTTGATGTTGTTGGATCAAGTGGAGGAAAGGTCAGGTTAAAATCAAAGGAATGATGAGCTGAAACCTGCCTTGGGTGTGGGAAGCATCCCAGTTTGATGTAGTGAGATGGTGAGACAGAATTAGGGACAGAGGTTAGATGCTGTTTCAGTGTGTGCTGACATGAGTGGAAAGGTAAGTATTGTGTGGATGGACCCCAGTCTGTGGCAGCCAAATGTGAGGCAGGGAGGTGAGGTCAAGGCCATGGTTTGAGGAGACTGTGCCTATGCAGGAAGCAGGGACTTGCTACGGTCCCTCCAGTATGGCTTCTGTCACCCTTGCCAGTGCTGGCAGTACAGCAAAACTCTGAATAGGTCTGCTGCAGAGCTCTTTTCCTTATGTACTTCCAGACCTTTCTTGATGCAGTTTTGGCTTTCTGGGGGGTGATCTTTAAGAGTCCTGCTTGCTTTTTACGCTCCATTGCTTTCTCTACAATTTTTCTCTGCAGATTTAAAATGCGTTCATCTTTCATTTGCCTTTCACCAGACTGGGACTTTCTTTTCTTTTCTTCTTGCCTGCAAAATGAAAAAGAAGCCATGAGAATGTAAAGTAATAACCTACGGAATAAATCCATCTGATTATGTATTACTTAGATGGTAATGAATTTGCTTCTGCTTCTGGCAACCAGGTTGGTTGAAAACAGGTTTAAATCACATAGCTCAATAGATGTGGTTTTCACAGCTTGCTTCTTGTTTACAGAACAGCATTACTAAACAATATAGAATCATTTCTTCCCATAGGATTCCATGATGACAATATCTGATAATATTTCAAGCCTGACATGACATTCTTTAGAAAAAATACGTGTGCAAAACTTATGTTAGCACTGCAGGTTTTTGCTTGTGGAGTTTTCTTAACGTGATCTTTAGTATTCATCTCAGTTGCTGTATTTATTCCTTGACAAATGCAAGATGTTTGTCTCTGTGTAATCTGGATGTCCAAATTCAGAATCTATGGGGAGGTGATGTATTAAAAGTAGAGGTTTTAGGAGAGGACCAATTGATGGTACCATGTGTAGCATATGAGTAAGGCATAGGAGAGGAGTTATTGGATAGTCTTATTCAATTATATTTTTCCCTCCTATTGTAGCTGATTTTTGTCTTTTGGAGTTTACATTTTTGTCTGGTTTTGCTTGCTTTCATTCAGCTGGTGCAATGTACTCAGATTTTTTTTCATGTAGTTTGTATCACCTTATATTGTGATTTACTTTACATCCAACTTTCTTGTTCCCTCAACACTGCCCTTGAACTGGGTACCATCATGCTGCAGTTCTGTGTCATGACCAGTTGTGATTCCCTGTCCAAATCCAGAGCTAAAGTAAACATCAGATCTACCAAGGAACATGCATCATTATCTATATATCACCAGGCTAGATCTGATGTTTTCTCTCAGCTGAAGAGTGCGAGGTCACTATTTCACTAGTACAACTGCTATTATTGGGAATCAGAACAGGACTTGGAATAACCGAGAGCAGAGTGCACTGGGGCCTTGTTAGCTGGTGTTGAACTCTTACTCTGTGAGTGCCAGGTCCAATTTCAGGGACAGGTTGTCCTTTGGAAATGTTTTACAACAGAACTTCTCCCTCATCTCTCAGGTCTTATTCCATGGTGTTTTCACCATAGGTCATGCTATTCTCATGAAGAGGTCCCTGCCAACCTTAACTCTTCTGTGATGCTGTAATTCTCAAGGAGTTGGGAAAAGGAGAAGAAGCATTTTTCCTTCTGATGCTAAAACCACCAGTTTGCCTTCAGAAGTGTCTGCATCAAGATTCCAGTGATCCAAACACTATTGTCATCTTGAGAAAGATATTTTTGCTTGTCTTGTTAACTTCATCTTTGCTAAGAGGAAATTCCTCATATTGGCAGGTATTCTTCAGAGCAGTCATTCTAGACTACGTTTCCCCAGATCCTCAGAAATTGGATGCACAGGAGATTTGACCCATGCTACACTCCTAAATGCAACTGTGAACTCTTAAAAAAGGGCACAGTGTAGCTTGGTTTCTCATTGCCAGTTGATTTCCTGAGACACTTCCTGAGCTTCTCATTTTGCATCATGTTGTCTACTGGGGTAACACTTCTGTCCCCTCCTTAATACAGTCACACACTGCAACAGTGAGCTTAACTTTTAACACAATTCTGTAAGTCTAAAAATTATGTTCTACCATATAATCTAATTGAGAACATGGGTTATTTCTATTTGCATTGCAATGAGGCATTGCATTCCAGGGGATCTAAGAGAATATAACAGTAAGGTTTTATATAAATAGTCAGTGATTAAATATCATCAGTGGGAATAAGCAACAAAACCTTTCACTACATGGAAATCCAGATTCTTGTAAATACCATTACAAGAGAAATAACAAGAGGTTTTACTTCACGAAGCAGCAGTAGCTGCTTCTGAATTAACATTATAAATACTTGGCTATAATCAGACAAATATTCAGTCCTCCTCTACATGAAGTCATCTGCCAGCCATGTACGCTCTTCCAAAAAGCAGCTAGCCCCATAAATTTTCAGATGCCACATCACATTCTAATGGAAACCCAGAGAGGGAAAAAAAAAAGGGATTTTTCAAGCTCTATTTTTCTTTGATGGTCAGTGAAGAACTTGTAGGACTTGAGACATAAAATCCTCATACAACTTCTCTCTCCCTATATCACATATCTCCTAAGGAAGCAAGTTAACAATCACTCAGAATGGGATAGTCCATGGCTAGAAGAATCCTCACTGGATATAACATAAAATTATGTGATAATTTTTGGAAAGCATGTACAGAATTCTTAGTTTACTTAGAATCATAGAATCCTTAGAGTTGGAAGGGACTTTTAAAGGCCATCTAGTCCAACTCCCCTGCAATGAGCAGGGACATGCACAGCTACATCAGGTTGCCCAGGGCCTGGGCCAGCCTGGCCTTGAAAGTCTCCAGGGACGGGGCATCAACCAGATCTCTGGGCATCCTGTGCCAGTGCCTCACCACCCCCACTGTAAAAGACTTTCTCCTTTTATCTAACCTAGATCTACCCTCTTTTAAGCTTCAAGCCATTTTCCCTCGTTCTGTTACATAGACACTACTAAAGAGTCTGTCCCCTTCTTTCTTGTAGCTCCCTTTTAGATATTGAATGGTCACTACTAGGTCACCACACCTGGAGAAGAGGCTCTCTTGTCCAGGATGAACAGCCCTTGCTCTCTCAGCCTCTTCCATCCCTTGGATCATTTCTGTGGCCCTGCTCTGGATGTGCTCCAAGAGGTTCATGTCTCTCCTGTACTGGGGACTCCACATCTGGACGCAGTGCTCCAGTTGAGGCCTCACCACTGCAGAGCAGAGGGGCAGGATCACCTCCCTCACCCTGCTGGCCAGTCTTCTCTTGATGCAGCCCACAATATGGTTGGCTTTCTGGACTGTGAGGGCACTGTTGGTTCATGTCCAGCTTATCATCCACCAGTACCCCAGGTCTTTTTCAACAGGGCTGTTCTCAATCCTTTTATCCCCCAGCTTGTATTGGTAGTGGTGTACCATGTTAGTGGTGAGAACATGCAGACCCAAGACCAGGCTAGGTTTAATCCAAAGTAATCCCAGCAAACCACAGATTTGAAGTCTTAGCACCAACTGTTTTCATCTGCTGCTTGATTTTTGTTGCATTAAATTACTTGCAATATAGACACAGCCTCACTGGAGTGAAAGAGAATTGTAACTGAAGTGTACGGGTACAAGCCTGTAGTACATTAGCATGTATTCCAATAGTCAAAAATCTTTTAGAGTTCATACTGAGTTCAAGCTGAGAACTCAAATGTTTGTCCACATCATATGCCAGTGCTCATTTTCAAACTACGTGAAATTCTAGCAATTAAAGAGAAATCCTGCATATACACTGAACTGATTCTTAAATGTTCTGCAAGCACTTATAAAGCTACTGCTGTGATGGATGTAACGGCTTTCAATCTATTAAAGGCTGATGTTTCTGTGATTTTCATGTTCCATTTCCTATTTGGTTTAATATAGTTCATTATATGCTTGCCCAATATGCTTCTTTTGTCTTGATGTATGTCTGTAAATGATATTGAAAGGAACTTGCTTGGTAGGGACCCAATTAAACTCCAGCTGACACTAATTACAGCAGATCTGTTTAGCAAAGCTTAGCCATCACACTTTGTCTGATTAGCAAGAGCCTTTGACATAAGACAGTTGCAGGTATAATATGTAATTTTGTGTTGATTCACAGTGGTATCTGTGAGCACCATTAGTAAGATTTGCTATGCCTATAATTATGAATTAATTCTGTAAACATAATTTGATCTTTATATCTCTTGTGCAGTATATCAATACAATTTAAGCAATTAATCACACTGACTTGATAGATATTTTGGGAGTCTAGACCTGTAAATAGGTTTAAGGCACAAAGCCTATGGTTTGTTTAGAGAAAAATGAAAGCTGCAGCAAAAAGTCTAGCACACGTAAGTGTGCCAGCATGCTGTGTATTAACAGAAATACCACCACAGATTTGCATTCTAGATGATCAAGCATTAAAGGCATTCCTGAAGAACAATGTTGTGATGCCTCTTTATAATTAATGCTCCCAAGTTGTGACCTAAAGTGCTTGGGAAGCGTGAAAAGAAATGTCTTGTAAAACTGATACTGAAAATTTGTACTTCCTTCATTTGGAAAACAAATGGGTCTCCATTAAAATAAAGTATATTTCTGTATTCCTTATCATGAGTCTGAACAGAAACCATCATTGGCATGGTCATCTGTTCTAAATAACATCTCAAATATGTCAGGACAAATCCACGTTAACTTCACATTCCAGCATAGCTTATTTCAGGATTGGAAAGGTTTTAGCTCTGAATTGAGACAAAGAGCCTATTTTAAAGAAACCCAGCTGTGTACAGTGTGTACACACTGCATATCTACCATAACAAGTTATTCTTAGAATACTTACTAGAGAAATGGTTTTTATGTAGTATACAAGTTCCTAATGCCTGGTTTGAATCTCCAGTGGCAAGCAATGACTTGAATTGCTCCCACAGGATTTCACATAACACTGAATGCTTGAGATGGGAATTTGTCTTCAGCTCAAAGTCTACTGCAGGTCCTTTAGTCTTCTCTCCACAGATGACAAAGAAGAGAAGGTCACTGATCTGTGCAGTCAATCCACTGGAGCTGCAGTTATTGATTCACTAACCTCATTAAAATAAGTTCTAAAGTACTAACACAGTAAAACCTCACTCTTTGGAGATTAACTATCAGCTACAAACCAAATCAGAGCAGGGACCAGTGAAAACTGGTTAAATGAATACATCAATACAGCCTTCTGTAATTGAGATTTAGAACTGGAAGATAGATCAATAACATGAATTGAACTCCTAAGAAGCCACCTTTGGTATCTAAGTGATAAACACAAATCTAAAACATGTCTAAAGATGCATAGCTTTAGCCTGATAGAATATGTTTTCAGAATGTCAGCCTGAACATCTATTTGCAAAAATAAATATGGCAAAACAAGAAGTAAACTATCAAAGTCACAGGAGAGAAGAGGTGAAAGAAAACTTGCAAGAAAAAAAGGCAGTCAAGATGCAGTAAAAATGGCATGAGAGCAAGAGGTGATCCATATTTACACACTTACACAGGCTTTCCTCTTGCTCAGATTTATTTGTAAATAATTTAAACTTAGATTTTACATTCCTTGTGGATGGGATCTGTCTTCTATGTATGTAACCATCTATGATGGTTATGGATCCTTTATGACAATGAATAATAAATATGATAATTAATAATAAATATGCATAATGAATACAAAATTTGATCAGAGAGCCTGTAAGCAAAGATTCTTCTCTTTGATCTACAGCTACAGTATATTTAATTTATATATTATTATTATTATCAGAAAATCTCCCTCAAAGTATCTTCTAAAACAATGCCTGCTCTTTCACATCACAAATGAAGTTCAAAGAAGAAAACTATAGCCCTAATATATTGGTTTAGATTAAAATGAGAAATCTCTTTAAGTAGCAAGTAAGACTGATTATAATAAAATCAAATTAGTTCTGATTAACTAAAAAGGAGCAGAAGAAAGATCTTCTTTCTCAATACACAGTTTTGGCTCTGAATACCAGCACAGTACTCTCAATACTAGCTGAATACAGTGTCTTCAACCATAAATTCAAGTTTATGAAAAAGATTTGTTAAATTTGATGCAAATTATTTTCAGGAGTAAAAAGAAATCTTGGTCCCAGTGTAATCTTTGACAAAAGCTACATTGCTTTATGAAAGGGCTGAATTTTGCTCTTGACTTGTTTTTCTTCTCATGGAACTAGCAAAATATTAACTAAGTTTCAGTGTGTTAAGTGCCATATACTGTTTTATACTGACTTTAATGCAGCTGCTCGTCCAAGTTCTGCTCTGAAAATGGAAATCTGGTCCAGTTTATCTAGAAGAAGTTGTTCCTTAGCTTGTTTATCTTGAATTATCTGGTCTCTCTTCTCTTCCTCTGCTGCCTTCTGTGCTTCTCTAAGTAGAGCGAGGCGTTCACGTAGTTCCACTATTGACATTTCACAAATTAAACCATGGCCACCAGTCTAGGAAATAAGAAGTATAGATTTAAATAACACTGTAAATGGCAAGGAGAGAGAAAATGAGTACAATCACAGTATTTTGATTGTGTTCCAAATCATGCTGAATATCTTTTGACTTCAAAAAAGACAGGGATGACTCTGACCTAACTGCTATTTACAAGCTGCTTTTAACGTGTTGAGATCATCTTCTGTATGTGTAAAAACACAAGGCTCTCAAAACATTTCATGAAAAAATGTTGAAAAATAGAATAAACAAAAACACAACATATTTGCTGTACAATAAATTCTACTTGACTTATCATTTAGTTTTAATAAGCTTTTTAAAGTTTTGAAATCTGTAAAACTGCATCTTTTCTATTTTGGTAAAACCAAAACTGACTTTACACTCAAAAATATGCATTTTTTTGTATTCATCTACATCCAAACTAAGGATATGAACTATGATGACATCTATCATTTTTATCTGAAAAGACTAGGAGTAAGCAATGCTCTATACTCAGGAAATTGAAAACTTAATGCCCAAATTCAAAATATTCAAATCTGAATTGAAGGCTTTTAAAAATTCTCTTTGTAATTAAATTCACAGTGAGCCCTGTTATAAGACGTAATGAGACAGCAGCACCTCAGCTTTCATGTGAACACAGATAATTTCTAAACAGATTTGTGTGCACTTGAAGTTTTCAGCCCTTATGTATACTCTCCTCCCTTTCCCTGAATCTACACATAAATACATCTGCAGATAGGGAAAATTTGCACAAATATATATGAATACTGATCTACTCTGGATCCATCTTTGCAAAATTTCATCCCTTTCACAGCAATTAATATTCTGTTGTTTAACAACGTATTTTTGGTACACATCTTTCATGAGGATCTGGTATTATGGCATGTTACAATGGAAGACATGGGTGCAGGACATCAAGATGCTTACCAAACTCTTTCTATACAGTTGCAAAGTATTAGGAGTGAAACACTGGTTAAGATTTTGATCACAATGGCCTTGATCTAATTAGTTCCACGGAAAATGAATGACAAAGTTTGGAAAGGCTGAATTTGAGGAAGGCAAAACAAACAGACAACCACTCCTCCAAACATTATTTCTAAAACTGAACATAAGAACATAAGTGGTAATGATAAATATAAGTAAAACTCACTACAGTCATTTCAATGGAGAGAAATTATTCAGCTCAAGAACTCATGTGTTTTCAAGTAATTCTTTCCAGCAGAAAAACAATCCCTTGTATTGAATCCTGAGTTGCTTGTTGACAGAGTACAAC